AGCAGCAGCAGCGGCAGCGGCAGCACTAGCAGCCGTGGTGATGGTGCTAGGAGGAGGAACAGGAGCAACAGCAGCATCAGCAATAGCAAGCAACACTTTGAGGTAGTGCAGCGAGACGAACATTCTCTCACACTTCCTCGGATGGTCGAGGCGCCAAACCACTTCTTGATCTCGTGCCTGCCCAAAGAAGAGCGACTGCAGCCAGCGCACAAGCCTTGAGACTGCGAGGAGATCGCGAGAAACCGAGACCGGAGCTACAGCCTACTTCGACACCGAGGCTGCTGCAGGCTTTGTCAGCATAAGTCTCATGTCAGTGTCGTGTCTTCTGATGTGTGTATGTGTAATCAGTGCGTGAGGCGTGCCAGATTCTGACCGCAAGTACGGCCCTCTCACCCGGAATGTACTTGCGACATTTTGTCATGGCTGTGGCAGATCGTAGCGGTCAGCAGGTTCCCAGTATTGATTCCAAAAACAATTTCCGACAAGAAAAAGTACACCTCAGTAACTGAGCTGTCTCAAGGTGTGACTTCCTCAGATCCTTACAGCAGGCTGTCTCTGAGCCTCTCTGAGCAGCTGGCAGCTGAAAGGGGGGCACACCGCCTCTCAGGCTCTGATCTTCTGTGCCCAGGAGGGCCAAGCAGCGGCCTAGAGAAATAAGATTCTAAGATCCTGCCTCGGCCTATCGCTGTAACGGCCCTGCCTTAGACACGAACAGTTGCTGTAGTCTTCCTTCTGGTTCTGCAAGCATGCGATTGTCTGTGCCGTCTGCACGGCTCGCCGCCGGCCATGCAACGGTGCCATGCTGGCCTGCCAGAATTTTTGGAGGACTTGTGAGCGGACAGAGAGTGCAACTGGATACAGTTAAGGATGGCCTTGTTCGCCTGGACTTCAAGCTTAAGCTATCAGGCCGTTGAGCCAAGACGTGAGCAGGACACTCATTCGGCACAGCTGAGTATACACTTGCAAAAATCTTCCTCCACAGGAAAGTCGAAAAGACAGCTACAGTGCCACAAACGGTGCCATCTTTGTGCAAGAGCTGTTTCGATCTTCAGCCGTCAGTTTTTAAACACGTACTTGTCTGAGCATGACAACACTGCCGTGTGCAATGATGTGACAGGCGAACCTCACAGAGGCAGTGGTTCTGCGGGACAAGATACCACAGTCTCTGATCACTAGTGCCTGCACAACTTGCAAAGCCAGCACGGATGCTGTGGAGGCAATGCTTCCGATGCCACGTATCGAACTACTAAGGTGCTCTCGCGATCAAACTATTTCAAAACCGACAAAGCGAAGGCCAAGTATGGCTGGTGTATGGCTCTAGGCTCTTACTGTTCTACAGGTTCTTGAGAACGTTGTCGACCATCGTGTCCTCGGGCTTGGCGTCACCAGCAGGGTCCTCCTCCGAGGCCGCGACCCAGACGTCCTTCACCTCCATGTCGTCCACGATCATGGCATGCCTCTTACACCGGGGGTTGCCCAACGCAGCCATGACCCCTGCATGGGTCAACTCAAGGCCAATCTCTTTGGTGAGCAGCGAGCCGCTGTCACCGTAGAAAGACACGATGGAGCCATCGATCTTCTGGTCCTTCGCCCAAGCATCCATCACTGCGGTGTCGTTCACGCAGTAGACAATGACATCAGAGACGCCCTTGGCCTTCAGATCAGCTTGTTTTGCCAAGTAGCCAGGGACTTGCTTGGCAGATCAGGTGGGGGTGAAGGCACCCGGCAAGCCCACCATCACCACCTTTTTGCCACCGATGATCTCTTGAAGCGGGATCTTCTTCGGCGGGAACCCCTTATCCAAGGTTACGTTCGGGAGCTTCATGCCCTTGGCAATAGTCTTCCCAGCATTGCTCGCTGCGCTGTTTCCCATGCTGGCTCAGCACTCGCAGAGAACCTGCCCCTCCCAACGATACAGAATGGCTGCAATTACAACTTGGTTTTGCAGATTTGTGCAGTGACGTGCTGATAATTGCAGGGTTAATGCCGCTCGATTGGGATGGCTCAGCGGCTGAGCCTGCTTTTAAATCGACGCTCGTTCCCTCGGCTTGAGTTCGCCAAGCATTCCACGGTACGGAAGATCCTTCCATCGCGTGGACGTGATCCTTTGTACAGGAAAAAGCATCCTACGATTGCTACGGTGCTTGTGGCACGAGGAGGGAGGAAGCTGGAAGAAGCGGCAGCGCAGCTAGGACTTCAGGAATGTCACGGCCTCCCGCCTGACAGCGCCTGGACCTCCTTGGTCGGTGCTCTTTTGGGGAGGATGTTGGAAAAACGCAGAGATGCAGCAAGGTCGCGACTTGGAAAACCATGCCCTAGCCACTGGCAGATCTCCAGTAAGGTGCAAGAGCAGCCGCTTCGAAAGTTCTCGCTTCAGGCTCTCTATCCTTAAGGGATTGAGGCCCATCATCCTTAGGTCTCCCTTCTCTCGGAAGCGATTGCTCCGCGGAACGAGACCCTCCAAAACATGCGTGCATGCTTGGCAGGAATGGAATGCCTGCTGCGCTGTACAGGCACAACATCTCACTCTCTTGGCCAGCTGGCCAGCAGTTCAACAGCCTTGGTGCAGGAACCCGGCCAGGATGCAGCACGAGCGACGTGATTAACGCAGACTTTCAGTTGCATCGCAACGTGTCGCAAACAAACGACACTTGCCACCACGCTGACGCAGTGCTCCAGAGGGCATCTCAGTCACCGGCAATCGCCGCCTCCTTTTATGCGACCTTTCGGTACCTCTGCCACGACGAAATCAAGTGACTGCAAGATGCCCGTAGCACTCGGTCACCACTTTTGCAGCTCCTCCACGGCAAAGAACCTCCGCTACTGCATCAGGTACCAGTACATTGGCAGAACATCGTCGACATGTCTTGGTGCACGACATTAGCACAGTGTGCCCTCCACACCTGGGCGCTCAGACTCGTGCTTGCGTTGGTGCTGCGCCCAGTTTGCCGTTGTCCGCGAGGTCTTCTGCACTGAATCGACTGCTAAGCAAACGGAGACATTGCCTGCTGAACTCACTCCACGAGTAGGTCCCCCTCCGCAGACAGTATGGCATGAAACCATTGTAAAGAGCTGCCGCGCCCTCCTTGCCTGGCGAGCACACATCACTTCGAGTCTATGTGCAACTTGGAAGCCGAGGAAGCTTCAGTCTCTCACACCGAGCTCTCGTGACGAGGACTTGTGACAGCGCTCAGGCCGCCCGCTCGCTTTGCCTGCGACTGCCTGAATGGTCTGCATGGTGCCACGGTACCTGTGACGCAAGATCGATCTCGTGTCTGTCGGCTCTAGAACGTGTGCCATAAGATCGCACAAGACAGCAGCAAACTTGCCCTCTCGCCAACCAGCAACAGTTCTGCGAGGCTCACGGAAGCTTACCCGTCTCTGGGTCCGGCTTTTGCGAAGCCATGCGATTCTTCGCGGACTGGCAGCAACGTGTTTGGAAAGACCGCAACGAGAATTTCGAACGGCCCTCGAAAGCGGAGCACCTCAAACGGCATGGTAATGACGGAGTAGACCTCCGTGTAATATGTCAAGGTGGTGTTCTGAGATGCTCTGGGCAAGTTTGGGCACCGCACCAGTCCAGCTGTGAAGGAGGAAGCGACCACATTGGAGTTTCCCTACCGTAAACGACGAGTTTTCTCTTCCTCTTGAAGCAGTTCTCGCCGACAGCATTGGCCTTAATTCCGAAGCCGCTGTAGATGGACTTAAACTGGTCATACGTTGCGACCTGTTCAGGCTCAAGCTTAGACTGGACGCCGGAGCCACAGGTTTACCTTTAAGCACACAGCTGTCGATGATGGCCCTTTCCCAAGAGGCACTCAACCTTTTCCGGATCCCATTCGGCGAGTCTTTGTCGCGTTCTGAAACTTCAGGAAGTCCAAAGCATCCGCCAGCTCGGCGGGCAGCCGGGACTTCACCAGGATCCGTCTTCCTTTTAAAGCAGAAGAGATCAGTCAGACAGAGCGTCCCTTGATGCTTTGGACCTAGCGCCTTCGAGGTCGAGGAAATCCAGTCGTCGGCAGTGCAGGAACATGCGAGGGCACCAGTCCACCTCGCAGCCTGGGACTGCCAGAAGCCGTGTCTAGATATAGTTCGGAATCCAAAAGCGGTGCCTGGACGGTAGAGCTTGTCTCCCACGAGCGGCTGTCCAATGCTGGCCAAGTGCACGCGGATTTGATGTTTTCGGCCTCGAAACAAGCAGCAATGCAGGATGCACCAGGATGTCTCAGTCTCAGACTCTGAATCAATGGAAGCAAGGGGCCAGTCAATATTCGCACCTCGCATCAGGGAGAAACGGGAAGCAGTCATCAGGCACTGACGAAATGAGAGTGGGCTTGCACAGCTGGCACCTTGAGCAGGTTCAGCGAGGTTGCCTTGCCCCTCGAATCTGAGCGGTTCTCTGGATCGCTGTAGCTTGCCAGAACAGTGTAGATGGTCCTCGCAGATCGGGACTTGAGAGGTCTCGCTTAGTAACTGAGTTCCACTATGCTCTTCTCCTGGCCGGGCGCCCACCACCAGAGCAATCAGAGCAGACTTCTTGTGATCGTGCTTCTCCCGGCTTCTGTCTGAGAGAGAGCGCCAGCTCTGCAGAGAAGCCATGCTCCATCGCTGGACCCGCGCACAAGCAAACATAGGATTTGGCGACGAGTCGCCCTGCCCACTGTGCTCTTAGCCACTGCGTGGCTGGAGCGGCCTCGTCGCCCAAGGCAATCGGAAGAATGCCAGAGGTCGGCTGGTCCAGCCGGGAGATAGAGGACATTGGAATGCCCAGGTCTGTGCGAAGGCTGTCCAGGACAGCCGCCGACTCAAGCCCATTGGGCTTCTCCACCACAAGCACGCCACATCCACGAGCCAGGACATCAAAAGAAGGCGACGATACTGGCTGCGGTTGCGGAGGCTGGACGTGGCCGTGCCAGATCAGCCGCAGTTGCTCCGCGAAAGATGCGGCCTTGCTTCGTCCCTCGGCCTTGTGCAGCATGGAAAGGACAGTGCCTGCTTGCAAGCCGTTGGGGCAAGCAGCACTTAGCAGCCCGTTCTCAATCTCCTCCGCAAACAGGGCCAATGCCCAAGGCCACTGCTCTGCTCCCTGCAAAGGTCGGAACAAAGACAGCGGACACGAGCAAACAGATGCGCACAAATGCTCATGCACAGAGCACCAGTGCACCTTTGCATCATAGTTCTGGTGATTCTAGTGTTGCGAAGTGAACCAAAGTAGACCCAGGGATCCACCCGCACTGACTGCTACAAACATCTGTCGGCTCTCTGAACTCTGAACTGCCAAGCGTCGCAGGAGCAGATTGCAGCGGTGTACGTGACTTCCTAGAGACGCAGGAAGCCATCGTCTCTCTAGCGTCACTCGACTCTCGTCTTGACACCTGAACTGAGAAGCGCCTTGTGAACCCTCTCCCATTCCACATTTGGGACTTCACAGCTGAGCTGCAGTTTTGTGCAATCTGCGCTGCTCAAAGTCAAGGAGGACACTCAGCGCCTCAAGCTCATACTGTACAAGTCGGAATTTGATGGCTTTTTGTGCGGTATTTTTTGGGTTCAGAAGCGGAGCTGAGGGCCCCGCCATTTGCCACTTGCCCCCCTCTGCAAGAGCAGCTATGACGGCATTGAGCAATATCTCGTCAGCCACCACATCTTCACCTAAAGCTGCGAATGCAAGTCAGTCTTTCTTTCGTCAGGGTTGTGGGCAGGGGAAGTTCCCCTACAAGTCAGTCTCTCTCTCTCTCTCTCTCTGCCGAGCCGCAGGCTTTTTGAGGCAAAGAGCTGCAATGCCTGCTGCCATTCGCTCATGTCCTCGCAAACGGTGACGGCGGCGCTGAGGGCTTCAATGGATGTGGGGATGCGCACCTGGAGCAAATCTCAAGCCCCCGTCCCAACATTCCCAAGTCGAAAAGCATCCAGAGTGGTTCCTACGCAAGTTGTGAGCTGGTCCATCAGAGGACCTGCCAGAAGACTAGCAACGAAAGGGGCGCGACAAAACACGCTGTGCCAGAAAATACTCCCTCCTGTTCGTGGGTGGGATGTGGGCTTTGGGTCCAGGGTTTCTGCAGCTGGAGTCTTGGCGTTGGAAGTGTATCATGAACTGGCTGAAACTCCTCGTTGCTTTTGCCATTGGGGGTCTGTGGTTGAGCAGGTTCTGAGGACAGTTGCGCACAGTCATCCAAATCAGAGGCGATCATAACAACACAACTCTTGCACCGAATACTGTCGCAAGGAGATCTTCATCTGATTCCCACAGCTCTCGCAGCAAACAGTGTCCTGCATGACCATGACCCATTGCTGCTGCATCAATTATTAGCTCCTATGGAGCCTGGAAGCTGTATGTGCAGTGCCGTGTCCGCAACTCGCGCTGTTGGGGCTGCGTGGTCTCAAGCCCTAAGCCCAAACTGGAGATCTTGGGATCAGGGCTCTCTGCAAAGGTGGGGAACAACTACCTAACCCTGCAGTGACATCCTTGAAGTTTAGGGGTTCAGTTTTGTTTTTGGAAATGAGGCACGCTTGGTTCGCTATAGTTGGCAGACAGCGGTCGGGCCTCAACTAAACTGGGCACCAAGGGAGCAGTGGCCCTTCCAGGCCCTCGCAAATTTGAGACATTGGGAATTTCTGGGCTTTTCCAGCCAGAAGATTGACTAAGTCTTGTGTCAGTTTGGATACTTCCGGGCCCCTCTAAACTTCTGAAATAGGTTTGCTTTCCACCCTTTCCAAGCATGCCAAGTCAAGGAATTTCTGTCGAGGTCCAGTTCACAGAGTTCACACTCGCTCGACCTGCTGAAAATCGCGATCCTCTTTGGACTCACTGCCTCCACCATGGCCCCGAGCAGCGCCAGCGCCTCGGACCATCGTCCGGCCTCAAAACAGCCCGTGACTCTCTTTCTCTCTTTCCCTTGCCCTGCTTCGGACGACAGAGAGGCGAAAGATGGAGAGAGAGAGAGAGAGAGAGTGAGAGTGCGATTCCGCGGCCTTTCCGCAAGCACTGGTTGCCGCGCTGAAAGCCACCTCGTCCTCGGCACTCCAAATTTGGCAGGTGCCTCCGCAGTGTAAGTCATGCTGTGCAAAACCTGCCAGTAAGGGGGAAGCCCACACGTTGCCTGTCAGGCGCTGGACTTGTACTGGTTCACACACTGAAATTTCCAAGTCAGTGCATGGGCAAGCTAGCACGTTGGATCGCAAGCAAAATGTCTTCAGAAGCTCTCGTAGCTTGCGCACCGGATCTTTAAACCTTCCCCAGAATTTGAAGGCCCCCACACCGTCACACAACTGTGCCCTTGCTCGTCTAGAGTTACAAGTGTATTCATCTAAGTGCCTACAGTTGGGGCAGCGAAGTCTTCAGGTCCTTTCAAAATGGCAGGCAAAGCCTCCTTCGGGCATCTGCCAGAGCAAATCCAGGGCACACTGCCATTGCTTTGCCTTGCAGACGAGAACACGAAGAAGAACAATGACGAGGGTGCTTCTTTGCAGATACCTCTCCTTTTCGCAGGCACTGATCGCCGAATTGCAAGCGATGGTGGACCTGCAGACATCAACTTCGGATCTCTTCAAGCATCTCGTCGGGTCAAGAGCATGGCCGCCTGTTTTCGCTTTCTTCCGAGCATCTTTGCATATCTTTGCACTACAATTGCGGAGAGGCGGATGCACCGCACCAGGTCGAGACTGGTGCGGATGTGAGATGAGATGTGTGGACGGATGTGAATCCTCTGTATCCTCTGTGGAGGTGCGTGAAACATGTCTGTCTAGATGCTGACGAAGCACCAATTCAATCTTCTGGGGCCGAGCAAGACTTTCGCCATCCTGCCTGAAGCCCCAAATTCCGAGCGCTGCTCCTTGAATTCTCTTGCGACTTACAGATTCTTCGGGTATGTGGCTTCGCCAACAAGACCCCAAGTAACTACGCTTCCATCGTGTCGTACTGCGGCGAAGGACTTGCCGGATGCGTGAATCACACGCACGTCAACCAAGAGATCTTGAACTCCAGTACTGTCACCTCCAAAGTTCGCATCTCCCCAAGTGAGAACACGACCGTCCTCGCGTAAGGCCGCAAAAGCTGATTGGTTTGCCCAAACATGCTGCACATTTTTGAGTTTCTCTTGGAGATGGCTGGTATCTCCGCCGGAGCGATCATGGCCCCATGTCAGCACAGTGCCATCGAGCTTTTTAGCGGCGAAAGCTCCTGTCGTAGCTTGTATATCCTCGATGTCTTGGAGCAGCCCACACACAGAGCTGCTGTCACCACCATGCTGGGCATGGCCCCAGGTTACTACACTTCCACCATCACCGATTGCAGCGAAAGCGGAGTCCGTTGCTTGCAATGATCGCACGCTGGTTAGTTGCTCCTGCATGACAAGGCCGCACTTACTCATTTACCTGCTTTGAGTCTCAGGGGATTTCAATGCCTGAGCAGAATAACCTTGATTCCAAACATCCTCAATTCGTCTACGTGTTGTTGACGAGTGAATCACTTGGCCTAAGCTATATTAAGAATGTTCTACACTAAAGTAGTCGGAATGTTCACCGTCATCAATCATCCCTTCCCGTACCACCCGGCAACTGCTCCTGAACACCGCGTGTGCTTCCCCCGGAATATGGGCAGCCCCATGCCACCACAGCTCCACCACCGCAAATAGCTGCAAATGCATTGCCTGAAGCACACACGGCCTGTACATCTTCAACCTCCAACCCGGAAGCAATGTCGGCAATATCACCGCCATACAGCTTGCTGCCCCAGGTGACCAAACTCCTGTCCGCACGTACAGCAGCAAAGGCATGGTTGGCAGCACAGATAGTGGTCACGTCGCTAACACATTGCATGCACTCACCACCATCTTCTGGATTTCCCCAGGCAGTCACCTGCCCATCTTCGCAAATGGCTGCGAAAGCGCTGACATTGGATTGGATCATCTTGACGCCGTGTAACTGCTCCTGGACACCTTCGCAGCTTCCTCCATACATAGGATCGCCCCAGGCTACAACATGGCCGTCGCTGCGAAGGGCAGCAAATGCACGGTGCGTAGAGAGGATCATCTGCACCTGAAGCAGGCCAGCAGTGCAGAAACAGAGGTGACACAAAGCAGAAGTTCGGAATTAGTCCCCGTCCCCACCTCTTCGAGCCGATCCTGCACAGATTTTACGTCACCTCCAGCATCTGGGTCTCCGAAGGCAGTCACTCGACCATCTTCTTGAATGGCTGCAAAAGCTATCGAACTCGCTGTGACATGCTGCACGCCGCATATGGAATCGGACGCAGGGAACGGATCGTTGCTGCAGATTCGAATGCTTCCATCTTCCCCCACAATCGCCAAGGCATCGAAGGGCGAATACAAGTCTTCCAAGGTGAAGGACCGGACTGGCGAGAGACAGGATCCTAGGTATGATGCGATCTTGGTCTCTCTGACGCTGCCGGTTACCACCTGTCCGTCATGCAGGCCTGTGTTCTTAAGGGTGCTTGTGTTGGGCAAAGCCTGCAGGGCTTTGGCTCGAGTGGAGTCTCCGGAGAAGAGGCGGTCGAGATGCACCCCAAGTCCAAGCTGAGCTTGCCGGCGCAGCTCCTGAACGGTGCAGTCTGCGTCCAAGCTCACCCAGGCTGTACGGCCACTCATCAGAGCGACGCCGATGCGAAGCATCATTCACATGCAAGGATTGCACAAGAAAAAGTTCTACAGGCTTGCCATGTGGAGCAGCAAGAACCTGCATGCGTGATTTATTCAGCCTGCTCAGCTCGTGATGGCATCGCGTACATTCCACATCAGCCAAGCGCTCACCTCGCCTCTCCAAGCTTTCTGCCGTCATCTGCTGCAGGAGAGACAACGCCGGCTGCCACTGCTCACCCTGGCCGCAAGCGGTGATGGCCTCGGCAACGAGGCAACGAGCGAGTTCCACTCGCACAGGCCCAAGCCAATTCCCGGGGATGTTACAGCGCAGAAGATGATGGCATTCCGGGCCACGCCCTGGCCTTTGCAGGAATTATGGGGGGGCTGTCCTTCAATGCACCGGCGACACCACCAAGGCTCCCGCTTTCCATCAAGTCCGTGAGGGCCAGGGCCTGCAGTTCGTGGCTCCCTCCAAAGACGAAAGAGGTGCTTTTGGGCTTAGAACCGCTTAGAATGGTTGTACTTATGCTCGGCATGCCTCCTGCCAGTGGGCTGCCTTCTCGCAGGCGCTGATGACGGCTCCAAATGTCACAACGTTCCTGTCGGAATCCTACCTGGGCCCTAGAGTTGCTGCGACCCGCCGCGGGCCGCAGATAGGTACCGGCTAATCTTCGCATGCCATGAGCTATGTAGCTTCCTGCCCTCAAGATCTCTCGAGAAGAGATTGGTAAGAGGTTGGGGAGAAGTCTCCAAGCGACGGTCTGAAATGTTTCCTTTGGTGGTGCCCGCCAAGCTACGACGAGAAGCTTGGCTTGGCCTTGGAATTGCTGATGGCATGGCATCGAAGACAGCCAAGGCTGCCACCCACTGTCTGCCTGGAAAGGGAGCAAGAGACAGAGAGAGAGAAAGAGAGAGAGAGATAGATAGATAGACAGACAGAGAGAGAGAGAGAGATAGATAGATAGATAGATAGATAGATAGAAATACATACATACATACATACATACATACATACATATATATATATATCCATATCTATATGTATGTAATTCTGTATGTATGTATGTATGTATGCATGCATGCATGCATGCATGCATGCATGTATGTATGTATGTGTGTATATAGGTAGATAGATAGATAGATAGATAGATAGATAGATAGACAGGGGGAGAGAGACAAAAACAACAAAACAACAAAACACACACACACACACACTCTTAGAAACACACACACACACAGAGACAGAGACAGACAGACACACACACACACACACACTCTTAGAAACACACACACACAGAGACAGAGACAGACAGACACACACACACACAAGAACCAGCGGAGCATGCAGCATCCAATCAATCCTTTCCATGTTGCACGGAAGTTGGTGCAAAAGCTGGTGTGTTTCGTATAGAAATTATATATCAGACCGCTTCGAAGCCCAAGGCGCTTCGCTCGCAGGCACTGATGACGGAGTTGTACGTGAACTCCTGCAGTTCGCACTCCGACATGCAGCTCCACAGAGACTCAGACATGATCATAGCCAGACCGCGCTAGTAGGATCTGAAACGGCACGCGGCGAGGAGATCTCTGCCCGCCGGGGCCAGCCGGGGCCCTTGCGTTGGGCTGGACCCGGAGACCAGGACATGCTACCAGCAGCGCGATGGCCATTTCCCAGCGAGCAGCCTCTCGAAGACTGTCAGCACAACACTGAAGTCACTAGTCGGTCCCAACACCGACAAACACACCGACTCAGAGTACAAAGCCGTACCCACCCCGATCCTGCTCTGCCTTGCACCGCTACAAGTAATCGGTCGTGGTTGGCAGTAGTCGTGGGGCGACAATCCCGGGGATGGGAAAGGGTGGGACACTCGATAACCAGCACCAAGCAGCTGCCAAGCAAAGCACTCTTTTTCTGCTGACATGGCTTGGTCCTCCTCTTGCTCTGTGCGCCGGAGCCGCCGGAGCCCCGCACCAGCTCAGCCGGATGGTATGGGCTTCAAGGTGAAGTCGCTGTGGCACTGGCAGCCCTGTCCAACTCGACCATCGCCTCGGTACAGCTTCTCTCGAGTATGCAATGGACCCGAATCCTAAAATGAGTCTGTCTGAAGAACCAAGTCTGCAGAGGTTGCTCGAGTCTGCTACGAACCCTAGTACGCTAATCTTGACTGATTCTCTGAGGTGCCAAGTCTGCAGAAGTTGCTGAGGCAGAAATGAATCATGCAGCTGTAGCTGCCAGCAGAACAGTGTGCGGCATTCACCCTCGCGAGGATGCCGGGCTGAAGAAGCGGAGCAGCGCGTTCCTCTGCGGTCTTCTTGTGCTCGACGGCAAACATCTCGTCAACCTGCCATGGGGAAATCGAGGTACCAGACTCCCTAGCGGCCCTAGCGGATCCGATATGATCTGATGTAAGGCTGTGGGAACTCTGCCGCCTCACTGAATACTCCCTGCAGGGCCGCTGCAGGTGTCTGTGTTGTCAAAGACTTCAGCGGTTCGGCCTCGCATGCTGATTCCTGCAGCGTTACGACGGTACTGGTTCAGACATCTGCTCCAAGGTTCAGGGAATCTAGGGCTTCAGTCTGTGCTTCGCTTCTGGTACGCTCTGCGAATGGCTGTCTCCACGTGGGTTCAGGAACTTTTGGGATTCGGCTTCTGGAAAATAGTGAAGGGGAGTTTGGGAGGATGGTAGCTGCAGGGAAGAAGAAGCGGGTGGAACGGAGTCCTGCAGCTTCATGACCGCGGAATAATTCTCTAGCAGCTCTGTCTTGTTTGGCAGGTCCAAAAATCCAGAGACGAGACCTGGGCCCATCGAATCTGCGTGCAATCTCTGAAGTCCTTCTCTGTTGTTGCGATCTTACCTGGGTTGTTGGCTCCAGTTGGACCTGCCAGGAACCTACCACAACAAAATGCATAGCACTTAGCAGGTCGTCAGCAGCAGGCAATCCTTCGAATCGGATCGGCCTGAACCCGCAAAGTCGTACATGAAAAGGTAAAGTCCCGGTCAACTTATCCAAAGTCGTCCAAGGAAAGCCAGCCAGCTCACAAAAGAAAGCCGCTTCAGTAAGGAAAGCTGCTACAGGGAACCTCACCAACACCACAACTTGGCAGAGTTGACATGGGAGCCTTCGACCAAGCAGCAGTACTCTGCGTCCCAGACGAACACTCCATCCGCAGTCCGAATCGCCGGGTCCTCGTACGCAGGCTCTCCGTTGAGCGCCGTGAAACCGGCGGCCCAGGTTTGCGTAAAGTAGGAGAAGTCCTGCAACACCCGCATAAACGACTCAAGGAGCAACGCAAGTCAAGTTGTACCGCGAGAGAAGCAGAAATCCCGACTCGCAACGTCGAAACCTTCTCTCGGTGCGATGCGGCGCAGCCAGAGCCCGCAGTCCACTTGCCAGGGCCGGTTGCCCAATAAGAAGCCAAGGCCTTGCAACGTTCAGCCCTAAGATCAGGTATCGCTTGGAAGGAAAGCCCGGCAAGCCCCGACACCGAGAGAGCTGTCCTCCTGGCCGGGCTGGCAAAGCACTTTTGGAAGGAGCTGCCTCTTGTCTACCTTGGAACTCAAGGGATCTCGGAGGTCTAACATCGGAGACCATCATGCGGAAAAGGGGCGTGCAAGGCCAATTGAAGCAGGAATGTGCCAGCAGCAAAAGTCATGAAGGTTCGGTCGGCTAATGAGACTACCCTGGCCGTATCTGAACCAAGGTGGCTGTGGGAAAACATCATCTTGGCTTCCGAAAGCCGCAGAGCTCAGATTCAGAACTCAATTCCGTGGAAAACAAACCAGAACTGCACACTTCCGGCCTGGTGGCAGGCTTTCACCGCGGCGGAGGCATGGTATACAGTGATCTCCATGTGACTCCTGCACCATCCGGTGTGCAGGGCTTAAAACAGGTCGGGCCGCCCGTCCCTGGAAAGCTGTCGCAACGTGCAGCTGCCCATGCTCTGCGGCTGAAACCAACATCCTGAAAATCTCGCTCAGGAAAGCGATGGCCAGATCCCACTTCGAGCTCAGAGCCAGGGTGGTCATCACCTGCAAGTCTTTGGACTCTGGGTTTGAATTCGTCAAAGGGATAGCACCGGCGAAGAAAAAAAGCTGTTCTGACTATTCCATCGCTCGTGCGAGTTTTTCGAACACCACAGCGACTTTGTCAAACCCAGCTCCAATTGTATGTGCAGTGGGTGACAAAGAAAGGAGCTCAATCGATCCTCATGCAGCGTTGGGCCACCATATGTAGATGGAGCAACACAGTTGGGGACCCAGAATCAATCCGTCGCCACGATTGTTGACGTTTAGGAAGCTAGCCACAGTTTAGCAGTCGCGCTGGTTCTGGCGTGGACTGAGTAGAAGAAGAGCTCGGCCCTGTCACTTCGGAGAGCTTTGGGTGTCCATTTTGTCTGATGGCACCGTGTGGTCATCTGAGATCTAATCTCCAGATAAGTTTGCGACAAAGGCTTCGAAAGCAAGAACGTCGTCCCGTTTCGTATTGGCCCTGGTATAGGGAGGTTCAGAGGCAGCAGGACTGGCCGCATCAAACAAAGGAGGAACAATCAAACATGTGGCTGTCGGCAACCTGGGACAGTCCACCCACTTAGCCAACACCGCCCGTGTACATGTTCAAATCAACAGCCCTTGCCGGAGTATGCAGTGCCGACTAAACGGCGAGCGGTTGTTGCGTTAGCCGCTTGGATCCTGCTGCGCTGACAGACCGAGCGACAAATATGCGCAGTCGTGTGGCAGTCATGTCTGGTACTACAACTTCAAAGTGCAGGAAGTAAGCTCTCAGAACTGATTCGGTTGCACTAGCAAACACTACAATCGGCGACAGTTTCAGACTCCAAGACTTCTGACAGCATGAGTCGCTTCGCTGGAGCTCCGCACCTGAGTCGGGAGGATGGAGTCACCCCCGATGCTCCGCACAGATGCCGTAACATCTGGGAGCAGGAGGTGGCCAAGCGCCTGAGGGAACTCTCGGTTGCAAGTCAATACAAACCTGAGCTCTTGTTCAAACTTAAACAGGGGCACTGGAAGTCATGATGACCAAATGCCTCATGAGCCACAAGTGATGACGAATACAAATGGAGCTGCTGTCAGCTCATATCAGCGCGGCTGCAGGCTTGGCTGCACGGTCGTTCTTTGCCGCTGCAGCAGTTGCTGCATAGCTAGCATGACATGCAAACAGTCCGAGCCACTCATCACTCATAGCTTGCTCACTCCGTGGGGCCTCCTTATAGCGTGACTGCCATCTCTCTGGCACTTGGACGCACGGCCCAGGCCTTAGATAGTCTGCGCATTTGGCAGTCTTGCGGCAGCCACAGCCGGACATGATCTTATCGACCTCAATACCCTGGCATTGACACCAGGACAAGCTTGCATCACCTAGCGCATGTCACCGTATCTCACTCGGGCATCGGCCATGTACCCGGGCCGGCAGACGCACGTGCCAGCGGCATGTCGCATGTCACCTGCTGAACAAAACCGGATACATCTTCACTGGACACTTTCTGTGCTTGCTCGTTTGGCATTTATTCGAAAGGCCACGCAACCCTGCCCTTTGCCACGGGAACATGCTTGTCTTCGAAAGCGACAGATGCGCTGTCAATGGGGCGCGCTATGCATGGGGTTTGGGGTGCTCAAAGCAGCTTTCCGTATCTTGGGCTCCAAGGCCCAAGCCGCCTCTTGCTGGAAAAGGCCTCTAAGACTCTAAGACTCCAGTAAGGGCCTGAGGCGATTACCCCCATAAAAGGGTTGCAGAGTTCATAGCGGCACCGCGAGGGCTTCTTCCCACAAGGCTTACATCATGCGCTACACTACCTCTTTCCAGAAAGGGCACAAGCCACGCACGGCTCCTGCGCACAAACGTTGCCTCCGCCAGCCACTTGCTTCAGGAGGGCATACTCTGCTATTCGAGATGGTCCGATGGTGGCTGTGAAGTACAGGCCGACAAAGTATCTGGTCGGCATTTTGATGGCGCGCCTTTAGAGCGACGCAGTGTGTAAAGTTGCAAACTTCGAATTCTGGTCAGATCTGAACGATCCGGGCACATGCAGGCACCACGCGGTTGTCTGTGGTGCAAATCACCATTGACCATCCGCTGTCACTCGAGTTGTTGGCGGGCTGCGCCGAGGCGAGTCGGCAAGGACATGTTGCGGCTACTTGGCCTCGCAGCGGCTGTCTGCTGTCAGGTCTTCTCTGCTCAAATCCCGCGGACGGCTCGTGGCAGCTCTCGCAGGCCGAGAGCACCTCAACCCTTGCTGCTGCCAGGTCTGTTGGGCAGCATCCAGCGACTGGCGGACCTGCGATCATTGCGCGGCACTTGACCATGCAAGTGCAGTGGAACCTGAACCGATTGGATCAGAAATCGACATCTTCTGCATGGACAGCAACATGCATGAAATCACCAGCCTCAGCTGCGTCTGTTGCCATCTGGCGGAGGTGCGAAGTGAGATCATTCTCCTGCATGATCACTTCTGGCTCTTCAAGAACCAGCCTTGGTCAAAATGCACTTCTGGCCTCTTCACCCAAAGCAGCACGTGCTCTTGAGGACCAGTGCAGAAGCTCCTCGTAAATGCTGCAGTCTGAAAGGCATTGCAGATGTTACTGGCATTACTCGGCATTACAGGCAGCTGAAACATGCCGGCAATCTGGAGTCTACTCACACAGCTTTCCAATCCACTCGTCCTGTCGTCTGACTTCCAAATCCCCGAGCCTGACAACGAATAAGATTCGTGAGGATTCGCGGCTTCTGGCTTCTTGCGTCAACCAATCGGTATCGCAGTGGGAAGCCAGGGCACTGCTGCGCATCCGCGACCTTCAAACGCTCGAGCTCCGCAAGGACTTCGAGTGCTCGTGCCAGTTCCGCCTGAAAAATCTGCCAAAGAGAAAAGGGAAAGAGAGGAAAGAGAGGAAAGAGAAAGGCGACGGAGCCTGGAGCCTGGCCTGGAGGGCGGCGTTCTCGTCCCTCAGCCGCCCAGGAAAAGGAGTGCCGCCTCCTGGAGCAGAGCCCACGGCTCGGGCTTTCAAGGCCGTCGCGGACGCCGCACGGGGCGTCGTCTTGGGCTTTGCTTTGGCCTTGGCCCGAGACTGCCCGGTGAAGGGCATCCGAGGTTTGGTTGCGATGGGGGCCTTAGAAGCGGCACTTCTCGCCTTCAGTGAGCTCTGCGCTCGAGCGAAGTTTGATGCGTAGGTCTGTGGTGCTGGTGCTCTGATTGCCGGCACGGCTTTGGCACTGGAGGCATCTGGTGAGCCGCTGGGCTGCCAGAGTGCTTGAAGAGCTTTCTTGGGAGCTGCCACTTTCGGTTCCTGTGTGACCCGCCGCTTGGCCTTTTCTGGACATCTCCGCTCAGAATGGCCCTTTTGGGTAGTGTGTTCCGGAGTGCAATTCTCTGCAGCATGGGACACTGGACACGCAGCTGGAGAGACCAAGTGAGAGTTGTGTGGAAAGTGTTCAGATCTCCTGGGCGTGACCATTTCCGACATGTCCACTACTGGCGCCTCCAAAGGTCCAGTTGGGTCCTTTGGCGCCTCCAAGTCGTGTCGGATCTTCTGCGATGGCTCAGAGACCGAGCGGGTCACGTTGGCCGTTCGGGGGCCCGGGCCCATGTCCTCTGTGGAGGCCTCGCTCAGCCGTGAAGGGCTTCGCCCACGTTTGGGAGGGACGTAGGCGAAGGCGGCGAAGGGAGCGGGCAAACTCGGAGGGTGGTGGTTTCGGACAGGCTGGCTGTAGACAGGGAGAGATTGGCTGGGACAGGCTTGGAAGCCGGCCCAAGGTCTCCACGTCGATTCCGAGAGCTGTGCTGCCATGGCTCTCATGGCTTGTAAACCTTGAAGATGTTGTGTGCTACTGTGCTAAGGGTGATCTGGCAGGTTTCTGTGCATTCCGAAACTTCACAGGTCAGCCATGACTACGATGAATTGAAGCTGCGGAGCCTCTGCCAAGCTAAAAATGCTGGTTCCTTGAGCACGCATCTGCAAAGTGGACGAGGTATCGATTTCTTGCAATCACAACGAATCTGCCATCGTATGTTGCACAGTGCCGCTGCGATGTGCTAGTCGTAGGAGATGGCTAGCTTATAGAAAGTCCGAGAAGGACTCTGCTTCCGCCTCGTAGCTGCCAGTCCATGGCCGCCATGTGTGGCAAAGCGGAGGCCGCAGCAGCAGTGCATTCGGGCGTTGGATGTTGAGAAGGTTTTAGGAGTCTTCAGTCTGCAACTCGACAAGCTTCGTACATCTTAGGCATTCCATGGCGTTGGATTTTGGACATGTCTTGGCACCGGTGGCCCGTCCCTCCTTTAGGGTGTGGCAATTGTTGAACTCGCCTCCACGCGTCTACCGCCGCTCGGCATCTTTTGTCTAATGAAGCTGCAAGGAAGTCTTCACCGAACAACTGAAGCGGATCCATGTGCAAAGCATGGGCGGCAGTCGAACTGTTGATCACAGCTCTCTCTGAGCACCTGCGTTGCCCCCACCAGGCAGGCTCGAGTGACAAACGGCATGCTCCCGCGCCAGAAGGCAGTGACCTGGGATGCATTGGGCGACGAAGGGCCCAAAGGCTTACCAAGACCCACAGGCCTCCCACTTGCCCGGGTGGACCGGAGCTGAGGCTCGCACGCCCTCTTCTCGCGCAATGCGCTGCGCACAGTCCATCACACCCTATGGGCGCAAGGACAACAGGACCGATGATGTCATGAAGAGGTAGACTGTGGCAATTCCGGGCATAGGCCTTGTAGTTTCTCCTCTCCGCCTCAGGTAGACTCGCATCGTTGGAGAGCCGCACCAGGGAGACCTGCAAGGGGTTTCATGGCCTTTGTTTCAACCATTTACCTGAGGCTGAAGAGATCAAAGAGGCGTCCATCTTAAGTGGCGCTTCAGCTCTCGCCGCTCTCGCCTCGCAGGGGCACGAGAAGAGCGCGGCGAGGCCGCCGGCGGCCGTGGCCTCGAACATGTTTAGATAGGCTCTAGTGACTCTAGTTGTTCAAACATCTGCCATGTATTTATTTGGCTTTCACAGCTGTTTTTTTCTGGGCTCCCAGCACAGGAGAGCCGGGCAGCGAAGTCCATCTCGGTTTGGATAGCATAAAGACGGGAAAGAGTCACCCACCCTGGGACGGATCCGCTACCGAGCTATCAACCTCCCGATACTGGGTCAGCGTATCTCGGAAGACTTGGAACCTCGGCTGCTCTCTTTGACTCTACTCTTCCTATGTGCATTACGCGTCTCGGCGTATGGCAAGCCATACCTGCTGCTAGCGTAGAACACCTGCTCATTGCAGAAAAGACAAGGTCAAGGAAACAGCAATCTACAGCGGCACTGCCTGTCTCCAAATTCCAGCGCCCAGGCCATTGTACAGGCTTGCGAAACCGGACTGGGTGTGTCAGCACTTGCTGGGCCACTGGCTTGGGATTGTTCATCAAAAACAAGACACTCTTGAGCGGATGATGCGTGCAGGCTGAGGTGAATGCCTTCTGAACGGTGTCCATAGCAAAAGTGAAGAGGTTCAGCTTCGCTCCAGGATTCTGCGCTCAGGAAAGATTCATCCCTTCAACACACATTGCGACGTTGCAAAGTTCATGAATCAGAGTACATATGCGAAGGTCTGTGTAGGCCAAGACATTGGGTCAAGAGGACTCAGAGGCATGATGCAGGAATATGCTGGACGGCAAGATGCAACACACAGGCACACCTGCAGAGACAGACAAAGAGACTGACCCAACGACACAGAAGCGAAGAAGTGAGGCACAAAGACTCATTTCAGAGACTATGTGACTGTGCGAAGGTCGCATTCGGGTCCATGACCCATACAAGGCCTGCATACTCGCGAGGTTCATCCTAATTGCCAGGGTGTTCACCTCAGTTCCGTACGAACGTCGACAAGGCAACAGTCCTCTAGCAACCCAAAGCAGAATCTTGACAGCTCAGCGACGGGGTGGATAAAGATCCATCCAAAGATGCCCCCGACCTGCTGAAGACACTCACGGAATGCATGGCTCCTGTTTCTGTGAAGTGCCCGTGTGTACTCCGTCTTCCTAAACTGCTGATGCTGGGCTTCCGGCGCCCGAGGTCGAGAAAGCAACCCATCCTTGGCCGCGGGCAGACTGGGACACAGCGGCCAAGGAAACAATCCGAGGAAACATCAACCACTCTTTAAAGCTTTAGGTGCCCATTTTGGTATGATGATATGAGCTGCGATGAGCTGCGGCTGTGTGTTTCCAAGAAATTTTCCTCTGAGCCCCGGGCCCGGTAGCGGCTTGGACGCCATCTCGCTAGGATGGGCGGAGTAGCTGTGGCGGCTGTGGCACAGAAATGTTTCTGGGAATGTACAAAAACCCAGCGAATCTGGACTGAGGCTCTGATGAACTTTTGGCCTGCACCATACGAACAAATCCTGCGAGGCAGATCTGGCTCCGGCGTTTTGTCCACCGCTTCGAGCTGGCTGCCGGCAGGAGCTAACAGAGCTATGTCGGCAATGGATGTCGTACCACTCCTGGAAACTGCGCAGAAACTAAGGAGAACCGGAAAAGAAAACACAAGTCTGCATTAAGCGCACGCTTTTGCATCCGGCCTCATCATTTAAACTTTCGATCGGAAAGCATGCACGCAATGTGGCGAAGTCTCGGTCCACGTACCTGCGGAGGGAGTGCAGGACGCAGTTTCATCAGAAATGGACGCCTCGTCTTTGCATGAGCCTCACCGAAAGACTCCTGAACTCCACAACTCTTGTCGGTCATGCCATTGTAGGGTCTTGAAGACTGTTGGGAGTATGCATGTTTTCACGAGTAGTGAAGTGACTGACTTTGGGTTTGCTGAAAGTCTGCCAGGTTTAGATTCCGCCTCGGAGGGCCGTTGGCGAAAGCGGGTGCGTCTGCCTCTGCATCGTGAACCTCAGGAGCAAAGCAACCAATCCTGAACTGGGTTAATTAATGTTAATCAGGCTGTTTGTCCGGGGAGTGCAAGTCTTGAGCCTCACGTCACGTCCTTCACTTGCCTGCCAATGCCGGGCTGCGAACCAAGCACAAGCTGCGGCAGAGATCCAGCGTAGCTCCTTCACACAACACATGCCATGCACCCCCCCGCCAGCCGTGCCGCTGCAGTCTGCACGCCTTCATCCTGCCAACCTTCTCCGGCCACTCCCACTGCATCCTGCACGTTGAGCAGATGCCGCGTGGAAACTAGCTTGGCATTAAAGTCCTCGCCGAAATTGCCAGCATGAGTCAGTGGCCTATGCTTGGCAAGTGGCAGACCGCTGACCGATGCTGCAGTGGCTGCTTTCTAGCCTTCCATGCTCATCCTGGAGATGCTCAGCTTTGTGACGGCTCTGTGGAACCACCTGCCAGCGAATGTTCTGTCGCTAGGCTCAGTATGCGTCACAATCCGCCTTGAATTCCTGATAGCCAAGCTTGAATGCCTGCACTTGCGATCACAACATGTCCATGCAAGTCTCTGACCTTTCGCTCGGGGCGCTCCTGTGAGATGTAGCCGAGACTATTCAGCTCCTCGGGCAAAACAACAACCATGTGAAACTCGTTTCGCAGCGCATGTAACACCGAGGCACGAAAGAGAGGTATGCCGGCTTCGAGTCCAGAGCCGACAACTGCCAGAGCTCATGTGCAGGACAGGGCATGAACTACAGATGCCCGAGTGCCTGCTGGAGAACCATGCCGTCAGCTCCTTCGGTGTCCAGCTTCAAATACCTCCCAGAGAGTTTAGCTCAGCTGAGCCTAGCCTCCCAGTGAGGGGCCATGTTTCATGGCTCAGTCAACTCAGTCTTCGGCCAGGGGGTTCCGTGTTGAACGAAAAGGTCCTTAAGAACGCACGTGCGAGAAGAGCCTACACCGTTTAAGCAGCTACTAGTAGGAAACTCTTTCGTCAGCCTAAAACCACTGCCAGCTGCATCCAGAAAGCAGCGAGGGTCAAAGTCTCCACGTTCACGGCTTCGGCCTGCGAGTAGCAGTCGACGAAAGAAGAGCAGACTGAGCAGACACCATAGACACCACATTGACTTTGAAGAACGCAATGTCAAAAATGCTCGGACGGGTGTTGTTGGATCCTTGCCTGGGGTTGTCCCCGAATGGCTAGCAGCGCTGTCTCGAATTAAGGGTGGGGCCGTTCCGGAAGAATCGAGAAGGCTTGTTTTCCGGAATGTATGGAATACAGGCTCAAGCGCAGTCCTCTGTGTCGTATCTCCTTCCCACATTTCGCAGGCAGCCTGGCGAGTGGCGAACTGACAAGACCAGAACGCCCCGAGGCACAGGAAAAAACACGGCCAGCGCCGCTGCTCCACTCAGAGTCTTCCTTGTTGACGTACAGCATGACAGAAGTCACCTTAACGACCGGATGACACCCGACATTTAGCGACACGTGGCCCGAAGGCCGTCGACGAAGCTACAAGCAGCCCAACCGACAAACATCCAGAAGACATATGAAGCAATGAGAAGGTTGTAAAGGTGCAATCCCAAGCACAAGAAAGGCAAGCTGAGCCGTGCACAAATGTAGCTGCGAACTGATTCGTACACCAGCCGTGCGGATACGCGCACCAACAACAGGGTTTTGAAACTTGGGTTGAAAAGTAAAGCCCTAAACTCGAAACTCTGAACACCCTAAAACCCTCAACCCAAAACCTTGAAGACTGGGCTTTGTTTGGCTCGCCATACCCTAGAGCCTAAACCTGAAGATTCAATCCCTAAGCCCTAAACTGCAGAACCCTTCTCAGCCGAGCCTGGTCTCTCCCAGCCTGTCGATACCCAAACCCGAAATCCATTGGCAAAACGTAGACAAAGCAGCAAGAACCAGAGCCATGCGAGCTAAAGACCTAAACCCTACACGAACCCACAAAAACCTAACGACTGCGCTCTCCGGCTTGCTTGGCGATACCCCAAACCATCGATAGGCAAGGAGAGCCCAATCGTAAGGTTTGTAGGATTTAGGGTGCAGGGTTTGGGCTTTTTAGGCATTGTTAGGTTTTGAAAGTTGCAGGCTTTGGGATTTGGATTCCTAGATTCCAGCTGGAAGCATGCCTGAATAATCGTGGCCAGTGCTCGAATCAGCCTCCTTCTACATATGAATTACATACATGTCCTCGTCGGAGACATTTGGAATATATCCCCTTGCTGCATCCTCCCACCTGGGAAGCTGTGCTATGAGGCGATTGCACTCTTGGAGATTTACGATGCCGTACACTGAACGGAACCTCCTTTAGCAGTGAAAAGGAGGGCCGTGTGAGCCGTGTGCCGTGGCAAAGCAATGTCAGACAGCAAAGACGAAATCACCGAAGGCCGAAGGGGCAAGCTGACATGTGACTTGCTTCCAAGGCACCGGGGCCCCGGAAGCATCCGTTTGATTCCAAAGAGCCTTCTCCTGCACTCTTAGTGTCTTAGTGTCAGGCACAGGTCATCTGATCTTTGCAGAGCAACGAGGCGCAGCTGTCAAGCAAAAACACGGCATCGTCTGCATGAGTGCTCTCAGCGAGTGCCTTCCTCCAACACCAGGCTCCCTGCGCTCACTTGACTTTGCAGGCGATCGCGGAGGCCCTCTCAGGGGATTGGAAACCGTCCGCAACTAAGAACCGCGGAAATCTTCTGCGGCACAAAGAGCAGGAGCAAAACACTTCATGTTGTGAGCCCTGATTCAGAAAAGCAAGCGGAAAGTATGACGTCGCACCGCAGCAGCTGCGGGATTTGGCTCCACGGCCACGACCTGCGCAGCGCGACTCTCCTTTGGCAATCGTGAACAGAAAATCTCGTATCCTGTTCTTGTGCATTTCGTATTTCGTTCATGAACGAACATGCACATGAGTGCACATGCATCGCGCCTTGAAGCCTGCAGCCAAGTATCGCTCGCCTTGGTAGTGGTAACAGCCAACAGAGCAGCCAGCCATCACCGCTTTAGGCTGCTTCGTCGCCCGTCGTACTGCATGCAAGGCGCTGCTTTGGCCATAGTTCGCACCAACATCCATCACCAGCTTTGGTCCTAGAGGACAAAAGCTGCGATCCACGCTCTAAACAGCTTTGCTTCCAGGTCCAAGTTGCGATGAGGCCCAGCAAAAGCAAGAGCCACCACACAACGCTGCTACTGGTGAGTAGAGGTTGCATTGGTGTCAAGGCGAAGCAGGACGTGTGGAGGATCTGGCATGATTGGTTTTTACCCACCCGAAGCCTCCACAAACCTCCAAGAGAAACAACTCAAGCCCCAGCTCCGTCAGGGTTCTTGAAGCCCTGTGTCGGCTCTTCAGATTGCTAGGCTCAAACCTCGACTCCCAAACACGAAGAACCCTTAATCCTTGAAGCACTAAGCTTTAACGCCTAAGGGTTTATAAGTTCAGGGCTGTTAAACTCCCCAAATCTCCGACCTGCTGCATCACCTGGGCAAACAGCTCCAGGAGACAGTCGCCGCCTGCTCCCAAGGCTCGGCCAGTGGCCAGATGGCTGTCACACAATCCGAGTTGTTGCGAAAAAGTTCTCAACATGTGGGGGTAGACATGCGCCGTTCATTGCCCATGTGGCAACCTGAGCTTCGTACAGGCAGGTATGACCTGAATCCACGACGAGAAAACAGAACAAACAGACACACAAGTCACACAAGCTTTGTTTGGCCAGCGAGCTCTATTTTGGTCGAAATCGACAGTGCCATCCGACATTGCTTCGTGATCGAGGAGGGAGGGATCCAAGCAGTGTTTAGATTGTCATTAGGTGTTGGTTGCTGTTGTTGAGTACCATGTACGGATGGATGTGTCAAGTAGACGGAGCACGTCACGAACGTGGCAGACTCACTACGTAAGATAATCAGCAAATCCATAAGTAACAGCACACACACACCAACACAAACACCAGCACTTCTGGATCTCACAGCCCTCAATGCTGCCCGCCTTTTGCGGTCAGGACTTCCATCCTTGGCCAAGGCTTATAGTTAGTAGCTGTCACAGTCGAAGCGTCCCGGTCGGTGCATCGCAATTTTTCCTGTCCTCTTCGAGGCCAAGCTTACGGTGCTGGCACTGTTGCTGACTCTGCCTTTAGCAGAGCAGGCAATCATAAACAAACACTTGGCAAGGGCATAGGTGCCAAGGCGCATGGACATGTGCAAGGCAGCTCGATTAACTACATAATGAACCGGAGTCACGGGCATGTCACAAAACCATCAAATTCACTAAAAGCCGGCAGCAACGCCAGCTCTACCGACTGCGATGCGACCATCCATTCTCTCTGACACTCAGGAACATGTGTGCTCGGAAAGCTGTCCTCAGATTCTGTGCTCATCAGAACCAGCTTATAGTCAGAAGCAGGATGTGCTTCTTTGAAGACCGAGAATTGGAGAGCGGGACAGGATTTTGGTGCAAACCCTGATTCTGTGTCGAGGCAGCCCGGTGACCAGAAGCCGGCGGTAGAGCTCTTCACGTAGATGGGTTCACTAGATGAGTTCGGCTTTCCGACAGATGTCCCAAACGGAGGCCCCGAGGCTTCCGACTCATTCCGACACCGTGGCAGACCGAACTCCCGGCAACCCCTGAGAAACCCTCTCTTGATGGCCACCTTTGCATCTGCAATTGCTACAGCCCATGCCGGGAATTCGCGCTGCACCGTGCCAATCTGGCATTATCTGTGGTTGAGCCCATTTCTGGACATCCACCCTGAAGCTTGGACACTGAGACGGCAACAGCACAACCGCATTCCCCCCCAGGTCAACCTTCAAGAAGCCACCCATACTACAGTACAGCCTTCTGAGACACCTTGCCCCGCACTGCACCGGCCTCGAGTGGTACAGCGCTGCCCGAGCTCACGGGTATTCTACGAAGCTTCGTCAAGGCCCTGCTCCTGCCAAGCGGTTTCTCTGACATGTGCTTTCATCCCCGATCCAAGCCCGTCAGCAACCCGCGTGGAGTCTTGAGTCTTTGCAAGGTAGGGATCCAAGAGTAGACTGAGTGGACCCCAAATTGCCCCGATGTCCTGCGATCTCACTCTGTCTCGCGCGAGGCGAGCAGGCCTGAAAGCAGCGTGTCCGTTGATCCCGACAGAGCAAAGTCGCTGAGAAGATTTCTCTGAGAGCCTGTGTTGGATCGGAGGGTCATAATGGTCTCTCTGGCCTCGCGGAGAGCTCGCTTTTGCGAATTCTCTGCTGGATCCCTTTGTTCCGAGTCCGAGCCTTGCGCACCTGATTCAGTACCTGGCACAGAACGCACGGCGCTTGGCATGGCAGAAAAAATACATCTGTTGCACTTCTTATCATCGGTTGAAGCTAGGTTTGCCACGACATGTGCCCTCATGAAGTATGTGGTTTCGGAATGCAAGAGCTTCTGAGGCCTTCAGGCAAGCAGGGAGTTCACAAAATCTGCCGCCAGTAATTGGTTTTGTGGTTATCCAAGCAAGCACGGCCAATGGCAATCCGCAGGAGCACATCTAGTCTTGAACTTGCTCAAATATCCGCAAAGGTGTCAGGATCATTCGTTACAATACCAATCAGAGACCTTCACAAGATCCCTCCCTCTAAGCTGCTTGCGGCGATGTCGTGCACGCACGCAGCACTAGCAACACCTGTAAGACTTTCCAGTGGCAAGTCATCGCGTACCGAGCGTCCCTTCACACAACAGTGCGCTTGCGACAGATCAGTATGCATGACGAGCCACAGCGCTCTTCCTGATGCTGACTTACCTAGAATCCTAGACCTCACTCGACCATTGTGCGGCCTTCTTCTTCATGGTCTCTTGCGAGTGCTCCAGGCCATGCTTGATTATGTGCAGGAGCTCCTGCCAGAAGCGCTCTTGGAGCCCTGGCAACGCCCACAATCCATGCTACCCTGGTGCGGCCCGCTGGCCAGTGAATCCCGGCCTCCATCTCCTTGTCAGAAATGACGCCTGGAACGCTGGTTGGGAACAAAATTGGATCGACTCCACATACCGTGCCACAGGATTGTCATGCTGCAGCTGCGGCACCCATTTCCAACCAACGAGACACCTGCTCCTGGCACGAGATTGGCCACGGCAGGGTCGTTAGGTACCCTTGCTGTCCCCTTGTAGAGATTCTCCAAGGTAGTGTGCCCAGCAACGCAGAATACTGTTGCCCTTCCTTCTGAACCTCGAAAAGCATCGTGGCGAGCTGCATCGTACGAACCTGACCAGGTCCGGGGACTGCTGCGAAGAAGGACTGGAACTTCAATCTCAGCATCACAGTCACTCAAGTTTTCATCTTCTTTGACCCAGGCAGCGAGCGGCATTAGACTGCAGCGCAGGCTCCAGCTCTGGGTAATTTCTGTCGTTTCATGTCCCTGCTAAAGCTGTGAGCACCGATGCGCTAGATCCACTGGATGTCCACGGCTGCCTTGCTGATCTGCTTCGCGCCGATGCCTTCGTACTAGCAGCTCTACACAGCTTGAGCTGAAGAGTTCCCCAGTGTGCAGCCGAGGTGCAGTTTTCCTTTAGCAGCTGATCTTGGTTGCAACCCGCATCATGCAATAGAAAAGAGATGCATCAATGCTCGTCCTCTTACGGGCCGTTGGCCCGTTCGACGAGTCTTTAGGAACGCCCTCTTGCTTCGATCTTCTTTCGACCCCAACAAACTCCACATGACTTCTGTCAAAGCCGCACCCAACATCCACAGTAACACTGCACCTGGACCAAGCTCTCAACCCTTTGCAAGCTCTTTCCCACTGCCGATCTTTCACCAGAAACTCTTGATGTGGTGCGGGAGGGGGTGGGGCAAGAGAGAGTTGTGCCGAAAGCAAGGCCGGGCCACGTGCGGCTTCCAACTCCTGAGCTTCCGCAAGATGCAAAATGCTCATCTTCTAAGCTTCCAGATCCCTATAGTTTTGCGGCAAGCGGCCGTGGAGGACTCTTTGACGACGTCCTCCCGTGCATCGCCGTTCAGGCAGTCGCTCTCCAGAAGCCGATGGCACACCTCAGCTTATCACTTAGGAAGATCTGCAGGCGGGTGCATGAAGCCACGTGAGATCTTAGTGCCAAATGAGACACGGTGTGGTGTGCATCGATGAAAGCCACGACGGTGAAGAGATCAAACACCATGTTGCCACTGACCGTTGGAACGGGGGCAAACCTGAGCGGGGGACTTTGCGGCTCAAGCAAAAGTCGGTCTCAGCCCTCCCAAGATGGGAATCTTTTGCAGCCCAACCGCGCGAAGTAGGGCGACAGCAACTCGCGAGCCTTCGCCAGGAGTTGGCGTGATCTTTTCTACTTGCGGTCACTCGGATGCCCGCCGGCACGTCGGAATTGTCTTCATGTGCAACAGAGTCGCGCCATGTAACCAGTGCAATGCTTGCTACAGGCGTTGCCGGTCGGAGATGTTACACAACTCTTGCACTAATGATTGTGTCCACACCGTCCGAGCTGTAGTTTCTGAGCCCTGCCTTGACCAAAACGCTCCCACGGCCTGATTGCAGCAACTGCTACAGCGCAGAGCTTCACGCCATGGCTGGATCTTCTCTCTGCGATCAAAGCCCTCCCAGCTCGAGGAAGGTACGTTTCAGCAGCTGGCCCTGGAGAATCTTCCAGTCCTCCGGTGACAGCTGGTGGCACAGCAGGGCTTGGGCCAAGTCTACAGTGAGTCTACCCTGAAAGATGCAGTCGTTCAAGCCGATGGCAGCGAAGTCATCTGCCGCATCGATGCTCGCCAGCAGGAGCTCCGCTCCTGCAATTTGCTTCTGCAACAGAGAGCACTCTGTCGGCGCAAGGCCCAAGCGCGCCCCCCCCCCCCCTCCCCCCCTTCCCTCTTTGTGACGTAAGGCCTTCAGCGCGTCGCGGCAGCATCCCAGTGTCCATGAGGCGCATGTACTCTGCGCCTGGAGAAAGCAGCAAGGGTGCAAGGCTCCTGAAGTCCTAACATCTTCATTTCTTCCTGCTGCTTTCTGCCAAGCCACGAAGCATGGAGAGGAATAGCTTGCGGTAGACAATGCGCTCCTCACAACGACATCGGCGTGGTAATATCTTGGCATTCGGTGTTGGACGGCAGTGAGCGGGTAGTGTCTTCGATCGAGACTACAGTCCTGATGCGTGCCCCGTGTTGCCACGCCATACCTGAGCAACATGGAAATACCGGCCCTTTGTTGCAGTACTTGTATGTTGCGTATGCCTGCCTTTTCTCCTGATCGGACCAGCGTACTGCCAAGAGGCCGCTTCTCCAAGAACGAGGGCCCAGTAGGCTTGTTCATGGCACCAGATGCCTGCTGTCGTAGCTGGTTCCGAGCCCCTCTGCGCGAAAGGTTGCGACTAAGTTGCAGGTCGGACTTGCTCGAAACCCCACCACCAATGCTCCTCCTGCCCACGGAAGCCCGCAGGCTTTACACACTGTCAAACTTTCAATCTCTTTTCTAAGAGGTCCTTCTTCTCGGCATTCTTCTTCGGTGCAGGATCTGCTGCTGATGTGGCCTCCTGGTCTGTGGTGCCTCACAGGGATGTTGAGGGTCGCTCAGGATTGCTTTCAAAATGCTACTTGGAGCCTACAAATCACGGCCAAAGCCTGTCTCTGCGACCTTCTCTGCCAGAATCTCCACTGACGGCTCCTGTCAGCACGCACACACGCCGGCAGTCGCGTGCAGCATGCAGCCCGTACTTCTCGGACTTCTGCAGACATCAGAAGTAGAGCAGAAACCAAACCCCGCACGCCAACTCTGGACTCTACACTGCGTCCTCGGCCTCGGGTACCACATTTGTGGTAATCTCATTCGCAACTTCATCGGAACCTGATCGCAGGGATCCGTTTTCAGCATAGTGTGGGAAACAGTCCGACTGCGGCCGCAGAACTTTCCATCGACTTGCCCACCAACTGTGTGTGGTCTTGGGGCACGAATTCCTGCAAGTAACAATATTTGGAAACGTTCGGAAAAGCGTGGGCTGCAAGTCCTGCGCATGCTCATTGTCCAGGTGACCGTGGTGAGCGAGCTCCTCATCGAGATGCTCGAGCAGCGCATCCAGTTCTTGCCTAGGTGACGAAAGTGGCATTGCGGCTTTTTGGGACTCCAGCTCTAAAACATTGCCAGGGCAGAAGAGGGGCTGGTGAACGGCCTTGAAGCGCCCATCCTCTGCCATCCGATCTTCGAATGATTTCTTGGAGACCGACACCCTGGGACGGGGCACTGGATAGTAGTGCTGGGTAAAGTCAAACCGCTCATCGCTGCAATCAAATGGCAAGACCTTCCGCAAAGTTGTCAGGATCACCACCTGTGCCTGGTGATGCGGGTGTTATGTTGTTGCGGATAAGACTACTGTGAATGCTTTGCGGCCACGCGTGCGGTTGTTCCGCTGCAGACAGAGTGACAGACTACACGCATAGTGGTCACAAAAGGTAGAATCGGGTAGAAGATCTGCAAGCAGAGCAACAGCGCACGGCGAAAGAATGCCATCTAAACAAGACTGCTTTCAATTGCCAGAAGATCCTCAGGAAGACATGGGGTTTCAGTAGAGAGACGCCCAAATCAGAACCGTGATGGTGGAGGGCTCGATCACCCGAGCCCAATCCCCTGGCCTCCGGAGGCTTGGTGAGCTCCAAGCGCTGCAGTAGTGCTCCACAGGTCGTGGCATTTCTGGGATCGGGCTTTGCTGCTTTGGCTTGGGGATGTGTGGAGTTTCCCAACCACATTGGCAAAGCGTGATTTGCAAGGTGCAAAACCTGTAGCACGAACTCAAAAGTCTTAGAGTAGCTCAATGGGTGTTAGAAAAATGCCAAGCTTCATCAACAATGTCAGGGCTGCAAAGCCTGAGACGAAGAATACCTGACTGACGCAGACTGAGCATGACATATTTTGTGCTCACCAGAATAAGACTCGCATGCATCATGCTGCAGGGCAAGTCACCATGCGGTCTGCCGTCTCTGTCTTCCCCTGCGTTCGCAATTCGTTTCCTTGGGATCAGCACACGAACCTGGGACAAAAGCGCATGATGATTCGCCTCAAAATGATCCATGAAACCTTTTGCTTGGCGGACCATGTCTCGCATGGACAATGCCAGGGCCAGGCCAACAGCACCGCGCAGCCCTCCCCAAACCATGACCTCAGCATTGCGACAGGTCTTTACACATCACCTTACGGTGCACTTGTCGGAATGAAGATGTGCGGGCAGGCATTAATCCGATTCCACCTTGGTGCTAGGGATGCTCATGGTGTGACGTTTTTTCGTGAAGACAATGGCCACAGTCCGACTCGCAAACAGGGCCTGTGGATGTAATGATGCTGCTGAACCTGCTGGTTTTGACCATGAAAAATGTGATAACAAGCACCTAGCTAACGGCGTGTTAGCCAAAACTTCTACTGAAGGTGCAGTGGGTGCTTTTTGGTCGTAGCGCAGACAGCGCCCGGCCGGGCACACCGCCCGAAAGCTCGGTGCCGGTGCAACTGGCATAATAATATATCCGCCGCACCAACCCCTTTGCGAGCCCTTCTTCCCTTTTCCGGCACGGGTTCGCGACCAGTCCGCAGCGCCTTGGACTTGGCCTTGGGCTCCGGGCGAGAGGGCGGCGCGGCCATAGCTTCAAAGAAAGCTGCCAAGTTGGCAATGTGCGCCGGTGCCCCTGGAAGTGCGGCGCTGGCGCATTTCCATCGCCAGCGTCGTGGCGGTCGACGTCCTCCCCATCGCCCCGGGCTTTCAGAACTACTTGTCCGAACGACCAGGACGACAGACTTCGGGTGGAAGAGGGAGGCTGTAAGCCCCAGGTGCTACCGAACCAGGACCGGCCAAGGAGGGGCCGAAAATTTGTGGCCGCCCACGACGCTGACCATGTGTCCCACTGCGACCGGGCCTCCAAGAAGCCGCACTCTCGTCATGCAACCCGGCATAGCCCAGCGCTGAGCGGGTTGGTGACGGTCGCCTCGAATTGCTCCACGGCGCTCTCCCCACCGCCAACACGGACGTATCCACCGGCGAAGAGGTAGTCGGCGGAGACGAAGAAGTAGTGCCGCCCGCCACCTCCAAGTCAGCCGCCCCGGCGAGCCCGGCCCAGGCGGCGGCATAGGAATCGGTGCCGGAAGATGCCATGATGTCAAGGCGGGGCGGCGGGGCGAAAGGAAGTGGGGAGAGTCGAAATCAGAGCGGTCCAGCCTGAGTGCCGCCAGCCGACCGCATGCGCTTGTTCCTACGTGCATGAATGCACTACCCGACAATGATGGTGGCGGTGGTGCTGCTGAAAATGGTAGTGTCGATGATCTCGAAAGTCATGACGCTTGCAACGGTGATGTTGACTATAATGCTGATGACGTTGCTCGATAGCATAGTGCAGGTTCGCTGGTTGATTGACCGTCTGAACGCGTATGATGCTCACAGATTCAGATGATGATAGAGACGTGCAACAATGCAGCTCTTCATTCATGCCACATGCGCATGCGACTTGTTCTGTTTGGGCTCTGCAGAGATGATCACTGAAGACTGAAGCATTGTCTTTCAGAGGCAGGGATCCTCGCTTTCGGGAGGCTACAGAATTTTCATCCGATGAGTCGATCTGACTGCTGGGTGTCATACTTTGATTACTGCCAGCACGTGTTGCCTCGCTGTTCATTCGTGACGGAGGTAGTGTCTTTGCCGTTAGCGGCAGGGCACTTCTCCCGATTATGAAAATGTAAGCAGTGCGGCTTCATGCCAGACGAATTGTCTGTTCAAGAGTTGCGGTTGCAAAGCATCCCTGCATGGCTGGACACTGCGTGTTGCATGAAAAAGAGCAGTATGGTGACGATGAACGACGCTGCTCCTGATGGTTATGTTGACGATGAAGGTGACGATGAAGGTGCTGCTGCTGCTGCTGCTGCTGCTGATGATGATGATGTTGATGATTGCCTAAGCTGATGACCATAGCACGGATCGAAGAAAGAGGTGACAGAGGTCAATGGCTGGTGGTGGTGGCTACAACATCAATGGTTGCGACGCAAGCAAGTCGGTGAGGTGAAGGGAGTAGGACAGTGATGTAAATCAACCTTCTGCTACGCTGGTGGTGATGATGATGATGATGATGATGGAAAGTAAGAGGATGATGAGGATGAGAGGACCGACTGGTTGGCTCACGAATGACGATGATGATGATTCGATGATAGTGATGATGATGGCTCTAGCTTTTTGTGATAATGTTGGTTATGAGCTAGTGATGCTTATCGCGATGATGTCAAATTCGTCATGCGAAAGGGCGGGGTGTTATGAGTTCGGCCTGCATGTCACTTCCTGGCCGAGGAGCCAAGCTACAACTGGAAAGCCCTTTCTAGCTCTGGCTACGAAGATACTACGAGTTCAATCTGTCGAATAGACAATCAGGCTGGGCTTCGAGCGGCGCATTCCTTCCAGGTCGTCTTCCTAAGTTGACCGCGGGGCTTGTGTTGCGAGTTTATCGGTGCAGCGGTCCTGACAGCTAAGTCCTGCTCTGCCGGCAAGAAGCGTGACATCCGAGCCACCGACCAAGTTTACAGCCGGCCAGAGGACTGCAACCATGAACCCTCTTGCCAGGGTCGCCAGAATGTAGAGAAGGAGTAGCCAACCGAAGTCTGCCCAGGCCACCTTCGAGCACGACTCATATGCAAAGAGCCCACAAAGGACGAAGAGGACAGTGTTCCCGAAGTACTCCATGGTGTGCCACACCGCGAGCATACCCTCCTGTGATCTCCAAAGAGGGTGACTACACTGCATCTGTCATCAAGTTCTCTTTCGCAAGTGGCAAGACCGGTGTAGACCTACTCACTGTGGCGTCATGTGACAGTCTGTCTAGATGTGACAGAATGCCAAGCAGGATCCTGGCCAAAGAGAAACGCATTGGCCCCTGACACGTGCGACGCTCCTTGTGGCAGACCAAAGGCGTGGCAAATTTGCTCATCATCAACGCCGCGAAAATGGCCGCGAGAACCCCGCTGACTTTCAGCTCGTTCTCCTTAGCTGTTGTGCTTGCGAAAAGTGCACACGAGCAGTAGCTTTGCGCTTCTTACAATACACGCCGATTGGTTCGATGCCGTGTTGCGCGGGTTTAGCACAGGCCAATTGCAGCCTCGGCCTATTGCAACTACAGGTTTGATGGACACAAAGAACCTCTGCCCAGGATTCGGAGGGAAAGCGCTGTCCAGTCACTATCTTCAAGAACAGCCTAGCCACCCCAATAAAGAACGCCAGGTAGGCAGCAGTGATGGTCAGGCTGACCTCGAGCTAACCAGACTTGACTCTGTCACTGCGGGGGCATCGTGAAAATGCTGTAACCTGCTCAGCCTGCTCATGATTTACTTGGCCCTGCCTGCACCAAGGCGTCCGTGTGGACCAAACGATCGGATGCAAGCGACGCCCAACCTGGCGGAGTGGGGATGAGCCGGGGAAGGATGTCAGGTCAAGCAGTCCACTGCCGCCGAAGAAGCGTGCGGCCACTACTCCGCAGAAGACTCCGAAGGCTGTGCCACCGGCTGCTAGGCCTCAGAGGGCCCGTAAAACTCCGCTTGGCCGAAGCTTCGGAGCGACAATGGGCTCTGACTCGAACTCAACTCCTATGTACGGAGGAGCCCTTCTGCTAGATCTTCTCTCCGCCTATTGCATTCGATGGTCTTATTCTGGGAACAGAACGGCCGTTCCAGGCGTGTGTGGAGTCATGCGTGGGCAAAATCTGTGCTAGCCTGCTATGTGTGAGCCGCGTTTGCCTCCGGAACTGTACTGTTTCAGAAGTCAGTGGCAAGTCAAACCCCTGAGGGAAATCAAGCTAAGGCACGGAGGAATGATCCTATGATGGCACCGCCATCTGCTTGATTTCCTGCCCCCGGCGGAGACGAGTACATCTAAGATCTGCAACACAACGGTCTTGTCTTGTTCTCACTCGACCAGACACCGCACGCTCAGTCGACTGTTTGGTACAGGCAGCCCTTACGCTCCTCTTGAAGACACTGTCAGAGTTACTCAAGCACTTCACCGAAAGAGACAAGCCAGGGGCGTCTTGGCAGACAATCGCCCTCCACTGGAGCCCGTGGTGACTTCTGCGGGCTCAGGTCAGGAGCTGCTTGTCTCATTCTGACAGGTGTCAGGACCGTGAGTGAACTGGGCTGGAGGGTGATGATTCGAGCCGGAAGCCGTAAATTGCCAAATTGCCTACGTATCAACTGCCATTGCAGCCTTTCATGAAGTCGAAGAAGACAAGCCAGACGACAATGGCTACACCATCCTCATTCAAGCCAAGCACAACACACGTGACAAAAGCACCGAAGGCGCACAGTGCAGCGAAGGAGCGTTCAACAAGGACTCTCCTGCTATTTGCATGGTGAGAACGCGGCTGGCCCCCATCTCCTGGCAGAGGTCACCCATACTCTCACACGCTGCTCGCCCTTGCATGCTGTCGGGTGCTCTTGCATTTGCGAGACACCCACGCATTCCAAACCTTGAGCCGCAAGAAAGTTGCCTCTACACTCCTGGCCTTCAGGAGACCCACCACAGCCACGGGATCCGTGGCAGCAAGCACACTTGCAAAGGCAGCACACTCATAGTCTCCCCAGCCTCGGGCAGAACTAGGCAAAGGGGTTTCAAGGACTTCTTTATGTTCTTTGTAATTACAGTGCAAGGTTTGCACGCTGGAGCTTTGATGCAAAGAGCCGCCGCAACTCCACTGCACTGCTGCCTATCTCATGGTGTGGTTCCCAATTAGTTAGCAAAATATTTGCTGCATCCCGAAATTGAGCAACGCGAAGCTGGCGTGAGACATGCCGAGTCCGCGGCCGTATGGAAAGATGTACTTCGAGACGATGAACATGAGTCCGGTCCCGATGAGGACGCCAGGGCCTGATCAAACTCTGCACACTTCCAGAACCGAGTCTGGGAACTACGGTAACTGACCGAATATCGTTCTGCGGCTTGTGCCAGCTGTCAGTCGTGCATGCATTGCTTGAATGTAAGGTTTCGTGGATGTACTTATGAACGTACGTAGCGTATGTGCGCAGTATGTGTCAGTATGTGCGTATGTATGTATGCATGCATGCAGCTGCATTTTTGGTCAGCAGCCAGGTGCAATAGCTGAATAAGCAGCATGACAACTGCATTGTCTCTGGTCGAGCAATAAGAGAGGTCCTGCACTGTTCACCAAGAAATGCGACAGTTTCTTATCGTTGCAAAACCACTCGAGAAGTCGCCTTATCCCTCAACTAGAGGTAAGAGAGCTCATCTCAGCTACAAGATAATGATGCGTGCAACATTTCAGCATTCCTAACTGAGGAACGAGCAGAAGTCCTCTCTCTTCAATTAAAAGCACTACGGGCAGAGCTGCTACGACTTCTCTACACAAATTACGCAGTTACGAAATGGACAGTCATCTTAATCGCATATCAGGTCGGGGTCCGGCGGGTATCTAAGAGTCTTGCGTACTTCTGCTGGTCCGAGCTCGAGGTGTCTGTGCCCGCCATGTTCCCGCTTGTTGTCCCCCAAGCCTGCCAACACTGCGCATTGCATGGCCGTCCGACGGAAATCATGCCATACCTCGGCGGAACGGATGTTTCCCGATGGCTCAACTGGCAGAACGGGCTTTCCTGCGTGGTGTGGTTGCTTGGGGAACCAGTACCGATGTAGGGCATGTCATGCTTTCGAAAACAAAGAGAGGACTGATTTACCGCAAGGCCTTTGTGTTTTCGCTGAGGCGCAATGGACAATGCATCTCCGAAGAGCAGTACCGGCAGGAAAGAGTACAAGATCACATGCGGGTCCTCGGCAGAGGGTCCCGGGCAGCTTCAGAACCCGGCACAGCTCCCGTCTTTGTCATGAGCAATCAGTCACGATTTGGCGGTTTTCAGATCCATTCGAGGCTCGATGTCCATCCAGAGGGCGATGCTCCTTGACAGCGTGCCCAGGCCTGAATTGACTAAAGGCCGCGGGCAGTGGAGGAAACCGGATCAAACTGGGAGCTAATATTCAAACAGATTGGTAAGAGAACCATGAGTATGCAAACATCACACGCCCGTGTTTGGCTCTCTGGCACAACGAGGAAATTGGGTGGCTCTTTCAAGTTCTTTCAACCCAGATTATCAACTCCATCAACTTTAACCTTTAAACACCCTAAACCGCGGGGCTGCATGTTCAAGGCAAATTAAGTAGACTACCCGGCACATGCACCACGAGCATGCTTGAAATGCATCCGGTCGGTGCTGACGGTTGTAGTGGCTTGCTGGTGTACTGCGAAACCTCTGTGATCCGAGCACAGCGCAGTAATGCCTAGTTTTTGAAAGCTTTCGGAGATGCGGCCGCATAGTGTCTCAGTCCGGACCAGCTACAGGTGACTCGTTTGCTTCTGGCACACGCCAAGCCTTGAGAGCTCTCGATGTGCATGGCTCCAAGCAAGACTCCAGCGATCCTTGCGCAGAGTGGAAATTTCACGGCAACGGCGTAATGCAGCGAAGCCGAGTTGCAGGAGCGACACGGTGTACGGTATCGAAGCCACAACTGGACAGCGTGAACCAAGATGTGTGATACACATACCTGACCGCCACTTCAAGATGCACGCTTGGGACGGCTCTTGGCGGGCTAAGTGTATCGAGAGCAAATCGCAGCCCGATGCCGATCAGCATGGCGAAGAAAGGAAACCTCGGCAAATCTCTGATGCAAGGGCGTCGTTTTGAAGTTCATGTCGGCCAGGCGGCAAGAGAGCCTCATGCGGATGGGAATGTGCTGAATGCTCGTCCTGCGAGGCAGGAGCGGAACCGAGCGGAACCAAAGCAAAGGACGGATCTTCTCTGAGAGAGCAAAAGTGAGCCGAGGCGCAGAGGCTGCAAGAACTGCAGTCGGCAAAAGCAGCAGCCATGAACGGGAAAACATGGCGGCGCTATGGCACAACCTAAGACATCGATTCTCCACTAACAGTCACTAACACCCGACTCGACGCTTTTTGCGTCCTATTCATGAGGGCTCTCCCAGGGTTGACACATGTTGCAACCGATTCCGGCTCACCCTGCCGCTTAATCCAGCAAATGCTGCGGCATGGCAGAATGCGTGGCAGCAACTTTCGGGGAAGAAACCCGCACTCTGCACAGCCCTGCATGCTGCTGCCCCCCTTCTGTCAGGTCCCTGGGCTCTCCAAAAGGCAATTGAGCACAGGCACCATCTCATCCCCCGAGCTCATGCAGGCTTGCAGGTTCCCTTGCTGAATCAGAGGATACTGCTTCAACCGCCCTGAAGTGGGCGACTTGGAACCCAACCCTACGTGCTGATATCAGGCAAGCAAAATCGTGAAAAATCGAGGGGCAAGCATGCCTGAAGGTGTGAACCAATATGGCTGCGAGGCGACAGGCGACGCGTCCGTCAAACTCCTTCTCCTCCAAAGTCTTACCTTCATCATCTTCTTCTATTCCCCGCTTTTACAATTACACGGGTGAAACTTGTCAATCCTTGCCAGGATGTCCATCAGACTGACACCAGCTCTCTTCCGCATGTGTAACGAACGTCGAATCTTCTCAAAACAAGATTGGAGATGCTGTTGATGGAATTGCGAATTGGCGGTCCATCTGCAGCCACCTTTGGCAGCACTGGGAAAAGCACCGGCACCGTAGTTCGGCCTAATTACCTTTGGACGAGACAGCCAAGCCACAAGCCAGTAGCTTGCTCCGATGCACGTGCAAGAGAAAGACAGTTTCATATCCCTGATCTTCGACTGAGCTTGCTGCCGTCAGCACGTCTACAGCCAGAGCTCTGAAAAGCCCCAGTGTGACTCTGAGGCACTGCAGCCCGAGTTTGTGGGCCACGTGAAACCACGAACCGTCCTTCAGACAGGCTCGGTTTGTGCGATGTGGTGAACTGATCCGTTGGTCAGGGTTTTGATGAAATCTGTGGTTACAGCTATGACTGATACTGTAGTCTCCAGTTGTCTCGTTCCTGACAGGAGCGATGGCCGTGGGAGCGTGGAATGTTGTGGGTTCATAGACGGCCTGAAGTTGTTGCGAAATGGTATGCAATGGCCACATCTCCCACAGCCGCCATGCCTGCAAGACACAGCGATCTATGCGAATCTCATTTCGCAGTCCCGGGCGGCGTCGCTTCCGGCGTCTGAACAGGAGCTGGTGCAATTCAGGGAAAAGGACCCAATCACCAAACCGCACGAAGTCAAAAGCTAGGGCATCTCGGGTCTCCACGACGGCCATGGCCAGGAGGGCATCCAGTTCTACCTGAGGCAAAGAAACAGCCGAGCGTTTTTCTCCGAATGTTCTATGGCGATGCACAAGCAATCACAAGAGCCGCCGTTTCGGCGGCTGAGGTGTAGGGGAGAAGTCTTGCAAGATGCTGTATCAGTATCATTCGGCAGGCAGAACTCTGAGTCAAGGGCTCGCAAAGCCATGTTCTCGGACCGAAGTCTGCTATTTTCCTCGAGGACCTCACCGCAACTGTCGTAACCCTGCGTCTCGGCCGCGCAAGAGGTGATAACAGGTGCCTCGTGGACCCGTTCCTGAATGGCCTCTGGGTCCTTCAGGCGCTTGTGGGCGAAAACTCTCGGCAAAACACTGCGCCATGCGCCATGCCTCGTCTTCCGCCTCCGGTGCTCCGGGCTCCGCAGCCTGCGCAGACTCAGACAGCTTCAGGAACCTTCTTGGGGCTATTATAAACTTGGCAAAACTTCAGAATGACACGTCCGCGGCCTGCATCAAGGCTGTGTTTGTGTGCTCACAAGCGTGGTGAAGCAAGCTGGTAAGATCTTCGCCATACATAGGACAAGAGTGTTGGGGCCTCTTCAACAGGAACCGGCCCCTGGTTCACCGGCTCAGCGTGGCTTGGCTCCTGCAAGGTTGAGGTGGCCATGGAGGCGTTGAGATGCATGCGCGGTGCGGGATGGAGCTCTGTCGGATCGTTTCCGCTCATCACTCGTTTGGCAAACTGATAAGATTTAAGAACTCGTACCAGGAAGCTTCACCTTGTTCTCCGGGACACTTAGGGTAAGAAGCACCAAGGCCGACATGCAGACCACACAGCGAACTGTGCTTTTGTGCTATGCAAAGTAACTGCAGCAAAATACTTGCTGCCACCAGCAACACCCACTGGGCAAGATTCGCCATTCGGCATCAGGATTCATGTCACCTGACTTGTGCCAGACGGGTGCGTCACTGACACTTGCCTCAGACGCTCTGGCGACGAAATTCTCGAACTCCTGGAAACACATTGCATGCGAGAGAGTCATCACCAGCACAGCACTTTGCAGCGGGCCTCCTTTGACACGACACCGTCTTTGTTGGTGTCGATGGCCTTGAGAATGGCATCCGAAGCGCCAGGCAGCATGATGACATCACAACCGTGCCACAACCCTGCCTCGAACGTCGCGGCAACCACAGCTTGTTGGACCTTGTGGATTCTGCCGCTAGACCCCCAAACCCTCCCAAACCAAACCTAAACCATGAGGACTGCGAGACCGCTATCCTCCTGCCGACATGGAACATAGACTTAGACGGCCTCGGAGCCTCGAACAGCCAAATGCTCTTGGCTTGCGGCCTTCTTGCTGTCCGACCCTTGTGCAGCGGTGCCGATGGTGCCTGGAATCAGGCGACCCACGTGTGCAGGTGTGCGTGCATGTGTGCACTAAAGAAAGCAAGCACTGCAACTCGGCTACAGGACTTTGTGCGACCAGGCTTGAACTAGGAGCACGTTGCGGGAGTGAAATAGACTGACGGCAGGCTTGCCTTCTACGGAGCCTGTCACAGAGCTCGCTGCTCCTGTGGTCGCTGCCTGCACAGGTCTGGAGGCAAGCTTTACGGTTTCCTCAGGCATTTTGGGGCGGCAAGGCGTTGCACTCGATTGCCTTTGCAGTCGTTTCCGTACAACTTTCTGATGGTTTGTTTTCATTGAAAGTGGTATGTCGTTCTGAACGGACTTGGGCCCTTGATGGAGCAATCTGCATGCAATCGAACATCTGGCGGAAATACAGATTGCTGACCCTATCTCGAGTGCAAAGATGCGCAAAGTCGTGGCAGAAGAGACGGTGTAACGCTTTGCCTTCAAGGCGTTGGTTACATCCGCCGGCAAGGACTCCTGGCTCAGTCGACTTTCAACTGCCCTTCTTGATCTGTACTAACCGTCTAAGATGCTCATGCAATGATCATGATGGTCACGGGTGATGGAAATAGTAAGAATGATGGTGCAGATGGTGCTGTTTTGGGGTTGATGATGACGATGATGAGGTTGACGACGCGCATTCCAGCAGCACGTTCCTGGAGAGCGTTCAAACGTTGAAGCTTCTGCCCCGTCCGGTGTGCCGGAAAGGCTTCGAAAACCAACCCGATCACCAATGTTTGATGACGAAGCCTTATGCCTGATAGCAGCTGCAGCAAAAATGATTGCCCCTTCCCTCCGCCAACAGAAGAGGGCACGATGACTGGAGAGGGAAAGGACATCTCTGGGTACCCCTATCCGCCCTATCCTTGTCGGCAGTGATGTCCAGCACCAAGTCTTTGGCAGCGATCTCGGCCCCAAGTTCCTGCGCATCATCCGGCCCGGACGATGCGGAGGGAGTCTTCACCTGGCTCTGGAAAAACTCTCAAAGCCGGGCCTTAACCACAGAAAGATCGCGCTGCTATGCTATTCTCAGGTTTCGCTGCCTCGACCACGGGCGCCATACCCCGGTCGCCTGCAGATTCGATGGAGACCTGCAGCCAGCTGAAGCCAGTTGCGAACCAAACCAAAGCTAGCCAAACATGCTCTGAACACGTCAGTTGAGAGTCTTGCCACCAAGATCAATGCGTAGACTGAAGTACAATGCACAACGAATCAACAATTCCGTAATGTCAGTTTTTTGCACCTCGTTTTGCTGCTAGATTCATACCCATAGATGCGGAGCCATTTAGTTTCCCAGGTACTGCCAGCGAAAATGGCGCTTCCTCTCGAATTCTGCTTACGGATCGGAATCGCACTACTCACTGGTCACTGCTCTTGGCTCCCCACCACCGTCGGGGTTGCCCCCATCTCTGCCGTTCTAGCCACCTGAGCGTAGCGTGGCATGTGTGGGCAGGCACTTCACTAAAATGCTATTGGCGCTGCCTCCACGACATGTGCGACAGCATCGCGCTCACCAGAGGATTCTATGGAAACCTGCAGCCAGTGAAGGAACGGGACTGGATCGATATCGATTCAGAACTGAAATGGCAGCTTGCTGTTGCTTGCGTTTGTCCAGGTATCCCCGGGCGGCGAGAGACAGCGCAAAGAGTGCTGCGATAGGACGCTGCCAGTCTTTGGTAGACATCTGCGACAATGTGCAAAGTAAACCTCGGTTCCCCGACCACTGTTGGGGCATTCGCCCCAATCTCAGCGGCTTTAGCAACCTTCGTGAAAGCAGGGCGGCATGCATGTGTAGGCTCTTGCCAGAAGGCTTTTTCCGCGCTGGCTGTCGCTGCCTCGGCGACCGGCACCACATCGTCGCCCTCACCAGCTGATTCGATGGAGACCTGCAGCTAGCGCCGGGAACTGATATCGATCGAGAACTGAAGAGGTAGCTTGCTGTTGCACTTCGCTCCTAAGTACTGTAGATCCTAGTGGTGCCGGGAACGTGCCAAAATCTGCACAAGTAAACCTTGGTTCCCCGACCACTGTTGGTGCATTGGCCCCAATCTCAGCAGCTTTGGCCACCTCAGAGAAGCTGGCCGGCATGAACAGGCTCTTGCCTACAACCCTTTTCCGCTCTCTGTCGCTGCCTCGGCGACAGGCACGACAGCATCGCGCTCACCAGCTGATTCGATGGAGACCTGCAGCTAGCGCCGGAAGAGGACTTGTCCGAAATCTGTTGTCCTTCATGCATAAGCACTATCAGCACAAGCACGGCTTCGTCTACCTTGTGGTTCCCGGAACGTGCCACACTGTGCACAAGTACACCTGGGTTCCCCGACCACTGTTGGCGTCGCCCCCATCTCTGCGAAACTAACAACCTCGCTGCAGCGGGGCAGCATGGGGCCGCACATCCGCCGCACAGTGCTGTGCATCTCACTTTCCCGACTCCTACTCGTCGTATACTCGGTGCGGACCCACGATTTGCTACCGAACTCAGCAAGCAGAATCCGCACGTGCTTTCGCAAGGGCGGTGGCCAGCGGTGGGAGTGCGAAGGCATCGTCCTTGCCAGCCCATGTCATCTAGGTTGCTGGTCTGTCATCTTGCAAGTCCCATGCAAGCCGATTGCAAGTCCTCTGAGACCTCGGTTGCAGCCGCCGTTGATGGCGGAGCGGCAACAGCCGCGTCAACCGCTGCAACAGCAGCGGCTGCAAGCTGCTCAGCGACCTGGAGCTGTCGGACACCCGAGAATCGAAGCACAGCAAACTCACAGCAGCTCTGCTCCTTCCGAGCTCGTGGCCGTCATGCTGCCATCTGTGCCCTGTTCCGTGGCGCTGCCTCCAATCCCGTTTATGCTCTGCATGACGACACGTAGATCATTCGGATGAAGCCTGAATCCCAAACTGGAGCAAATCAGCGCAATCTCTGGATGCTTCACTCAGCATAATGTAGTGTAGCCGTAGCCCAAAAGCCCTTCCTCGAAGCTGCATTGGACACATCAGGGCACAAGCAACCCTTCAAAATGGAGTCGACACTTGAACTTCTTGCATGTTCCTTTGGCAACTGTTTGGGATGTGCTGTGGCATCGCTCAAAGCCGACAATCGCAACACAGAGGGTATCTTTCATGTCAGCAGCTGCCTCGGCAAGACCCTAACTGCTTGATTGATTGATTGATTGACTGGCTTATGGGTGCGAACATCCTTGCACTTGCAAGGCAACAGAGGCTGCTCTGTCGCTGTACAACAGGGGCAGCGTTTACACACACGACGACTAGGTGAGCAGAGGGCTTCATGTAAGTACCCTAGAAATGACATGAACCGGCAGTCTGAAACTAGCTCGCGCCGTTGCCTGCTAGAGAGCTCGTCGCGCAGCTCGCGGCTCCTCTGGTCGCGGCCTTGCGACGAAGGTGCTTTGGTCTCACGGTGAAGTGGTGAAGGGTCGAAGAAGCCCTCAGTCATCATCTGTCCCCTCTTTAGCTCTGTTGCCTGCATGACATTGGCCAACTCCACTTGCAGGAAGGCCTGGCACAACGGCAAAAGACGATCGTCCAAGGCAGGACGAACCAGGACGAACTAGAGCAGCCTGCCTCCGTGACGAAGTGGTTCTCAAACTCCTGAATGATAACAGGACACACGCTCGGCGACTCACTTGTGTGGCTGTGCCCTCCTGCAATATGGGCCCCAACCCACTTGTCTAGTCTTAGACCACTCCAGATTGCCCCCAGCACCTTTCAAACATCACTCTCACCGAATCACTCTCCGATGGGAGAGAGGAGGGAGACAGGAACGAGCAAAGAGAGAGAGAGAGAGAGANNAGAGCGAGAGCGAGAGCGAGAGCGATCGCGAGAGAGGGAGAGGGAGAAGAGGAGGAGGAGGGAGTGCAGCGAACAGAGAGGGGAGGGCAGGAACACCATTTGGATGACGGACAAAGGGCCCTGGCAAAGTTCGATCAAGTAGTCCTGTGGTACTTTTGGGGACGCTGGACCATATATGATGAACTTGAACCTGTCGTTTGCCTAGTACTGATCGATGGCCCAACAGTAGGTAAGACACTAAGACTGACTAAGACATGGCGGGAGGCCTCCTTCGATAGGACACCGTCATGGTTGCTGTCGATAGCCTACAGAAGGTTCAGATCCCTGGCTCTGGGATTCGAAAGCCGCCTCTCAGCAGGTCCATGTCGGCCTCAAAGGAGGCTGCAACGGCTGCAACCTCTTCAGGCTGCGGCGCCTGTGCCGTGGCTGTTCTTATGCAATGCTGTGGCTTTTATCGCATGACCACGGCATTCCAAAGATGCACTTCCGGTAACTTGATGGCATGGCTCATGCAGTTCATGCAGCAGAACAGACATTATCGTCGCACCTCGGAGGACGAATTGGCATGGGCCCAGGCTGCAAACTCCTCTGCAGAGACCACCTTGGCATGCTCTGCAATTTGCAACCTCGCCCATGCAAGCGAAGCAGAATACGAGGAGCGTACACCATCATTGTTCGTGTCTGCCTTGGTAAACTCCTCCTGCAAATGTGCATGGCAAGCGGGCGCACTCCAAGAGCTACAGGCACAGCAACTCATAAGCATCAGCTTCCACCAAACTCCTCCACTGACCGCCTGATTGTGGAAATCAGCGCCTGCTCACGCTCCTTGGCCAACCAAACGTAAATGAACTCCCGACCATGTATGATTCAATCGAGCGTGAAGTGTTCGTTGTGTTGCCCCCGCTATGGTTTCAGGACTTGCCACCCCATCCCTTTGCAGGGCTGAGGTTCAACATGGTTCATATCCCCCACTGTTTGTAGTTTGGATGAGGTCGGGTTACAGGCTGCTCCGGTCGCTGTGGTAGCACAGCTGTCTGTCCGCTACGGCATCTGTCACTCAGAACCAACCGCGTCTGCTATCGTACATGAGAACAGGGATCTTCGGAATATCTTATTGACACGCAGACCGACGCGAAAGCTCCGTCAGAGACCGATTTCCACGATTGCTTTCGGCAGGTTCGCCTTCAAGCCCTTCTGGATCATTTACGTGCGAAGCGCAACGACAAGCCATACACCAGCCCGAAGTTACAGGTGAGCAGCGCATAGCCAGTTGCTGAGGGACGAAAGACTCAGTTACCCTCTATGGTTTTTATGTGTGTCGCCAGCGTGGCTGGGGAGCAGATTCAGGTTTGGGTTAGCTTCAAACGCACCAAATCGAACTTCCAGGTGCCCCGCTTCTGCAAGCCGTGACTCGGACCTAGCCGCCGGGATACGCTGCGAAGGGCTTGACACTCTATCCGCTTCAACTGATGCTGTCATTGCAGATTGTGTCGACCACCCTCGAGACATACAGTAGTTGTTTCAGAGGCAACTGCCCCATTTTGCTTCTGCCGACCCACAGAAATCCTGTACGTATCCCTGCCCTACAGGCTGAGCCGCCGACACTGCACTCTGCATGGGGCTAGTGCCGCTGCCATCCTCCAGCGCCTGCAGCATTTAACATGATGTGCTGTCCTAGCAAGCTGTTCATCAACTACTACTCCGCACCACGCTGCATGAATTCTAGGGCACGTATGGATCCACGATGAAGTCCGTGATCTGCGTGGCTGCGGCCTTGCAAACTCAATCGCACACAACCCTAATCAGGCCCTAATCAGTTCTATCATGGCCATGCTTGCAAAGCAGCAACGGAAACACCCCATGAGTTGCACCCACGACCCACTCTGCAGCACATCGCAGCTGCGGCTGCAAGTTCCGCCTTGGCTGCTCGGCGTTTGGCTGCAGCCACGGCAGCTTCTCGCTCCTTCCCGCTCCCATTCTGTGATACAGTGGCAAAAGCAGGGGCAGGGACTGAGCAGGGTGCCGGGGGTGGGCATGCTTGGGCCTGAGCCCTCCCTTTCGCAGTAGCAGGAACATCGAAATTTTTAGAAGCCAGGGGAACCAAACTCGTGTAGAAGTCGCCATGACAAGCCAGAAGGAAGGATGCACGACAGTCGAACACGGTCCTTGGAAAGTCGCGCGTCAGACCTTCAGTCACCACAATTCGAAGAGGGTGACTGGGTGTCACGAGCGGGTGCAAAGAAGTCTCGTATACATGCATTTCTGCACTCTAAGAAGTACGACGTTACTCGTGGCTGGTGGTTGTGATTCACGACCGGCATGGGCTGTTGCACGAATAGCCTACCCGAGGCACCGACACCGCACTCTGAATGGGGCTAGTGCCAAAACCATCATCCATAGCCTCGGCTGGTGTCCTCTGGCTGAGGCTGACACATGCAGGCCATAAACCATCTCAGCCCTGAGTGCCCGACATATGGATCCAGCAAGAGCTTTGGGATTAACTCCTCCTTATACCAGTTTGCCGTTTCCGAAAGTCGCAATAAAACACAAGACTTCTCCCTACACCCGTGGCCTCCATGGAGTCCGTGGGCTTGGCCGCCTCGGCAGGGCTGAAGGCTGAACTGCGCGAAGCTAGTTGGGAACCACTGCTATAGGTCGGTCGTCTTGGAACGTCTGTCCTGCCGGAGTCCTACATGTACCGAAAACGGACGAGAGACAGGACTCATTGTGATGTAGAAGGTAGGAGTAAGGTCGGTGCCGTCTCTGCCGGCGGGCCGGGCTCTGGCGCCTGAGGTTTTCCGACGTATGGAGAGTATCCTTTCTTGCTAGTCAGGCAGATCTGCTTGAGGTGGACTTGCACTTACTCGTTCGGCGAACTGATCCGGTGTAAGAACTCGTAGCAGGAAGCTTCACCTTGTTCTCCGGGACACTTATAAGTAACTTATAAGGCACTTTTCAACAACTGTAACAGAATACTTGCTGCGACCTGCAATGCCCACTGGGCAAGATTCGCGATTCGGCATCATGGTTTCATGTCATCTTACTTTCATTGACACTTGCCTCAGCCGCTCTGGCGACGAAATTTTCGAACTCCTCCAAAGACATTGCGCGCGAGAGACGCAGCGAACTTTTCGTGTGATGACCCACCAGCATAGCACTTTGCAGCAGGCCTCCTTCGACATGACGCCGTCTTTGTTGGTGTCGATGGCCTTGAGAATGGCATCCGAAGCACCAGGCAACATGAGATGAGCACCATGACCCTGCCTCGAACGTCGCGGCAACCGCTTGCTGGACCTTGCTGGACTCTGCTACTGGAACCCCAAACCAACTCTCAACCAGTAGGAACCTGATTCTGAGCAAGGCAACTGACCAAAAAGCAACAGCAAAACAACAGCTACATCAAACAAACTAGCACTTCGCATGTTGGAAGGACGTGCTGTTGCAGAAGCCTTTTGTTTCACACGACATGCATGGTATCTTGAGCCGCCGGTATCGTCTTTTGCATTTTGTTGCTGTGCCATGCTCTGGGGGAGTTCTTGGTTCACCTGGCCTCGTCCTTTGGAAGCTCCGGGTGCGTGCTGTCGAAGGCCGCCTCGGATGTTCTTCGGGGCTCGGAAGTTCTTATAATTCTCGGTCAGCGGCTTCGTGTGATGTACAAGCGGCCATCCCGCAGAGCTGCCCGAGCTCCCGGCCCACTGCGATTGGGTGGGCATGGCCTCGGTCGTTGCGGCCCTTTGCACAGAGGCTAGAATCGAGTCCTCCCACTCCCTCATTTTGGTCCTTGCCCGAACTTCTCCCAACAAAGAGCAAGACTTCGTGTCGGGGTCTCTCATAAGGCGCACGCAGAGCTGAAGCCGTTGCCTAGGAGCACTGCGGAGAATGGAGGGCTCAAGACGCGCGAACCACTGTATGGGGTGTCGCCTGTCGTGCCAGTTGCATACATGGTCGTTGCCGGCACCATGGTGGATACAGTGGCATGCCTCGGACAACAACATGGGAAATCGTCGAAGCAAAGCTCGAGCCGCTTTAATTCGCTTTGCGCTCAGTGGAAGGCCCGTCCACTGGCCCTTCTTCGAAGGATGCGGTGTGGCGCACCTAGGCGGACTTCGGACCCCAAGCCTCGGACTGGCACTGAGGGGAACTGAAGCCAAGTGGCCATGACCTGAAGGTCGGTCGCCCGCTGAGGCACACCTCAAGCAGTAAGAGATGGCACGGTGCGGAGTGCACCTGTGGCCTCAAGTCCGGGGCCACCACCTCTCGGCCCAATCTGCGCAGCCGCCAGCCTCTGCTCCACCTGCTATGCGATGTGCGGACAACTGCAACTTGGAAAGAAGCAAGTTTGGATGCGTGTCATGGCCCGTCGTGCGCTGTGCAAACACTGAAGGAAAGCACCTGTTACTATCAGTGCATCGAGCAATAGATCACTCACCCGTATCCGTGCATGCCACGGGCATGGGCATCCTCAGGTGCTCAGTCAGCCCTCCTTTCAGCCCAAAGCCTAGAATCCCCCAAAACCTTAGAGGTGACCTCGGCCAAGAAGTTCTCCTCTGCTCGAAGAATTTCGGCCTTGAGAGCCTCTGCTAGGACAGCACGAGCTGCAGAGCATTGAGGCAGTGGCCCTTGGCAGAGTGGGCCTTGGCTTCACCGGAGGACGCATTCTTGATGGTCGTCCTCACCTCCACCCCCTCCTCACAAAGCGGCAAAAGAAGAAGCTCTCACCCACGCTCGGCGCTCTCTGCCGAAAGGGCCGGGCTTCCGCTCCGCCCAGCTCGATGCGAAGCGAACCTCGGGGCGGGGGCGGTTCGCGTGGCGCTCGGAGCCTCAGCTCGGCTCTGGGGCTCCGTCGGATGGCAAACTGAGCCATGGCAGCCTGCACCTGGCGCAGAGAGAGTTGCCCCCCTTGTAAAGGCCCTCGCCCCCCTTTTTTGTACCTCCTGGAGCAAGAGGCCGCTCTGCTCCGAAGCCGCGAGCTCCTCAAAGTCCAAGCCGGGCAGCACCTCAGACACAGTGCGCGCGCGGCCCGAGAAGGGGAAGGGCCCTCCGACTCCGAACCCCTCCGAGCAGACGGCGAAAGCTACCACGGTGCTGGAGCTGATTCCGGTGCCCTGCACCGACGCTCGCACCGCATCTTCTTCCAAACGCCGCATGCGACAATATGCAAGAGCCTCACCCTCACTGCAAAAGCAGCTGCCTTCAGTGGCCGGGGAGGAGCCGCAGCCGCGGCTGTGACCTCCAAGGCCTGTCGATCCCACAACCAAGCTGCCAATGTGGCTCTCTGAGGGTGAGGCTTGTAATGGCTTGTAACAGGAACTAGAGGACATGTAACTGGAAGTGGGTTGGGGCGAGTAACTGTAACCAGTGGGAATTGTAATGGAAAGCAACCGGCTCAACGAAACCGAAACCGGGTTGTGGGTTGAGACTTTCAGTTACAGAGTTTACTCTCAGAGAGCCCTTCGAATTCCTCTATAAAACAAAGCCTTTCAAAGCCTATAAGCCATTACAAGCCCTCAGAAGCCCTTACAACCCCAACACAACCCTGGTCAGTTTACAAGGGCACCCGTGTAAGCCCTTTGAAAGTTCTGCACGGAAGCCCTCTTAAGCGCCTGATGAACCTTTAATGCTCTTGGAAATCTTTAGCCCTTATAAACGCTTCAGAACCCCAAACCCTACACCCTCAACCCTAAACCCTGAAATCCACCCCCCCTCTTCAAAATTCATCGTTTCTACGTCATTTAAAACCTTATCATGAAAGCTCTACTTTTCCTCTATGCACGCACTCCCACCCAGAACCCTCTCTCTCCTACACCTGAAATCCGTACCCTATACCCTAGGGACTTTATTAGGGTTTCACTAGGAATCCTAATGAAACCCATGGCTTCTGATGGTTCTTGCTGCAACACTATGGCTAACCAATATTCCAAGCACTAAGCCCCAAACCCTCACGAGTGCAAGGCAAGTGTTAGAGAGGCAATTCCTCTTACGAGCCCCCCCCCACCGTTGCTGTTACAGGTCTCCCCAGCCTGGTCTCTGAAACCGTTGCGAGCCAGTTGAAACAAACTTTCCTGTTAGAACCCCTCTTGGTTCAGGTTGCGGCGATTACTCGGCTCTCCGACTGGCCTTCTGGGTGCCAGATGCAGATGTGGCCAGCACCTCTGTCTTGGGGGCATCTTCAGGGCCGGCCAAGTGAATAGGCGATGCAGCGCAGGATTCGAAGGCAAGCACAACACGCTGAAAAGCAAAATGCTCTGGGACGATCACTGGAAGCGCATGCGAAGGCAGCTCGTCAAGCGGCATGTACCTCAGGAGCTCAATCCAACCGCGCCTTACCCCGACGAAGTCTTGCCGACCGGCACGGTCACAAGCGGGGTTCCCTACCGGTGATTGAATGGTTGATCGATTACCCTGGTTTGAGTTGGCGTGATTGCTTGACTGCTGGGAAAGTCACCAGGTGCCCACAGAGGGCCGTTGCCGCCAATCGCAGTCCAGCGCTGGAGCCACCGCCTTCCGAGCTTTAAGAAGTTTTCCAAGCATCTAGCAGGTGGATCTTGGCTCTGGCTCCTGAGAGGTGAGTATGGGAAAGTATGGGAATTGTCGGACCGTTTTTGCTAGTCAAGCACATCTGCTTGAGGTGGCCTTGCACTCACTCGTTCGACGAACTGATAAGATGTAAGAACTCGTAGCAGCGGGACACTTGGGGCACACGTTTGAACCAGAGTAAGACGCGCCAGGGTCGAAATGCAGACCATACATCGAACTGTGCTCTTGTGTTATGCAACGTAACATAACTGCAATAAAATACTTGCTCCCAGCTGCAACACTCACTGGGCAAGATTCGCCATTCGGCATCATGGTTTCATGTCATCTGACTTGTGCCAGACAGGTGCGTCACAGAAACTTGCCTCAGCAGCTCTGGCGACGAAATTCTCGAACTCCTGGAAACACTTTGCATGCGAGAGGGTGCACGGAACTTTCGGAAACTCGTGTGATGATACTCCGCAGCGCTTTTCAGCAGGCCTCTTTTGACACCACGCCGTCTTTGTTGGTGTCCATGGCCTTGAGAAGGCTCGTCGGGAATCCGAAGCGCCGGGCAGCATGGTGAGCACGACAACCCTGCCTCGAAGGTCGCGGCAACCACCGCTTGTTGGACCTTCTTCGCTTCTCAACTATCGAAATGAGAGCAACATTACTAAACACAAAGCAACAAAACAACAACAGCTGCAGCACACGTTTAGCACTTCGCATGTTGGAAGGCAGCATGTGCTGCAGTAGCTTTTGGAATTTTGCGCGACATGTATGTTATCGTGCCACGCCGGCGGTATCGTGTCAGTTCTGTTGCCGTACTGTGTCCTGGGGCTTGGAAGAACCGCGCCGATCACCATTGCACCTACAGCTTCAGGTGCATCAACTGCAGCTACGGCCACTACATTCTACTTCCAATCGAACAACAGCAACAACAGCAACAGCAACAACCACCACCACCAGTATCACCACCACAACAACAACAGCAGCAGCAACAACAACGACATCTCCCTAACACACCATGCAGCACAGAACGCAAATACTGACCAAACACTTGCAGAGTCTTTTCCGGTACTCTTGGAATGGCGTCGCTGTTGGCAGGCGGCGTCTGACTGAACCAGTCCCGCGAATCGCACAGCGTTCAGTCGGCACCCCACCATCTTCTATATAGGGCGGTGTGGCCGGGTGCAAAAAAGGACGGAAAGCCAGCGTCACAATTCTGAGTGAAGCCAGGTGCTGCGGTGTTCACGCTCGTCCCTGTCATTCAGTGCACAAGTGCACACCACCACCACAACAACAACAACTGCGGGCGGCGGGCTCTCTTTTCTATCAATACAAGATGGGCACGCAGTGTACGGGTCAGCCAACAACCACAACCACAACATCACACCAATACTATTGGAGGACAGCGCGTGGTGCGAGTTGCAAAACCCAATTACTTTTGAAGGACTGTGGCAAGTTTGAGCTCCTGGCCTCTGCCCGAGCTGCGTGGGCCTTGGGCCCCTTGCGAAGTGCATTGGTTTCGGCACTTCTGTCTTGCACATGCTGCAACAGGACTATACTCAAGACTCTTATGCTGGCATTCCCAAACCTAAGCCAGCACATCACCTCAAGCATAACAGGAGCTACTGCGCGACGACAATCTTGGAGCCATCATCATCAGTCTGTCTGCCTCTGCAGTCGGAGACTGTCGCAGTGGTGTATACCTTTCACAGGAATGGCGTGTGAGCGGGTGTCCTACATTGCCTACATGCCATGATTGCCGCAACAAAAGTCTGATAGCTTTTTGCAGTGCCGAGGTGCCAGGTTCCAACCGAAGCCAAGAAATCCCACGGCTGAACGGAAAATGCCGCTGCAGGCTGGCAAGCCTCGCGCTTCGATGGCTGAAGTCCCCTCTCCACGCAGCAAATCTAACAATAAGCGATACTTCTGTCATGCGCTTCCCAACCTGAGGTTCGGCTGCTTTCTTTGCCAGATCCCGTGCGAGGTGTGGGAAGCGAGAAGTTGTAATTACGAGTCAACGCTTCTCAAGCCAAAGAAGCTTTAGCGTCCTTAGTCCAAGGAGAACCTCTTTCAACTCAGGGCCTCTGTGCCAGCAGCACTGACCATCGGCGAGGTACCTGTCCAAGCAAGCCGCTGTAACAACATGCAAGCCGACGGGGTTTCCTCCCTTGCTGCGACTCTTTGGATGTGGATGTGGAGCCTCATGTGACATGGCCCCCGAAGAAAGTCTTGCAAGCCCATCTCGGCTGAGTCTTGCACGCGGGCTTGATGGCCCGCGCTTCACTCCAGGTCTCGTGTTCCGGGAACCCAGGCCCAACTCAAGGATCCGAATCCCAAGACCGACAATGCAGTACCCGACTACATCATGCGGTGTGTGGCATAACCAGGCACAGCCAAGGACATGCGGTGTACAAACACCCTACCCGAATTCCAAGTCCTTTCATGCGAACATGCATCCAAATGAATCACCTCGAGGAACTTCTCCACTACATCCACATCCATTCGAGCTTGATGGGCATCTCTCTGAAGTACGGTGTGAGGACCACCAGAGTCACTAGATTCAATTTGATATTGACCCCACGAAACTGGCCTGACCTGTGTGGGGCGAAAATTCGTCTACGGTACTTTGGGCGAACGGCAACAGTGCGCAGGGCTCTGGCAAGGGCAGCGGGCCTTGTGACATCGCTTTGGCCGGTGATGTGCTTGCCTGCACATGAGAAAGCCCAAGACGCTTGGGCGTTTATGGTAAGCCAGAATGTAACTCGCTATCTGCACTGTAGCATTCCAATCTTCCATAGTTACTTCAAGCCCGTCCATCAACATGCCGATCTGGGCGCCAAGCGGCAGCAACAAGGTCTTCCACAAACTGCCCCGCGACAGCTCTCTCGTGTTCCACCTTCCAGGCTTCCAGTTGTGATTTGTGGAGCAGAGCCGGGCAAGAATGTCAAAAGCAAAATTGAGCTTCAGCGGCAACCGCCTCGTCCCCTCGAGTGGAAAGCAGTGGCTCTTCCTGATGATCCGTGAAGGCAAGCTCTTGCTCTAGGTGGCACCGGCTCAGCAGCACCCTACAGGGAACGCAGAGACCTCTCCTGAGACTCTGCTTCAGGCACGAGGCTGCCCTGCCAACCAAAGCAGTCCCGAGGTCAGTTGCAGAAGCTCCAGCAGCTGCACGCTCACTTTCCGACACGCATGTTGCATGTCTTGCACACATGAAAACAGGTCGAGTCGAGCCGCCTGAGGCTTGACCACGGGTGTCGGGATCATGTACCTGGCCGACCCAGTCGAGTCCCTCTTAAGCAGTGCCTCTCGAAATGAATTCATGAATCACTTCCAGGACGCAGGAGGCATCATCTGCTCTTCACGCCGAGCCAATCATGGCACAATGCTGACTCGAGCTCTAATCCCATGAATGTCGAGATGACGCGAGCGGCACCACGTGCCCACGGAAGGCATCATGTTCCACTCGGGCTCCTTGACCTCCTCCTTCTCCTCAGGAGATCTCATCAAACTTCAGGATTGGGAGGGGCGGAGCTCAATCAGGATCTACGTGCAAGCATTCAAGGGTCCTCCTCGAGCTTGTCTAAAGGCCCTGGCACAAGAGACACGCGCAGGGAATCGGAAGGGATCAAGGACTCTGAAAGGGCGGGCTGCCCCCGCCTTCGGGCTTGATAGACTCCGGCAGGGCTCCACCTGCAGTCGCGGCCTCCACAGATATAACCCTTGAGCCCCTATCCGAGCATCTGGCTCTGTGCCAGGAGAATCTGAGAAACTCAGGTCAGTTGCAGCAGCTGCCGGACCCTCCTTCTCTCGCAATGTCCGGGACAGGATTTTCCTTCCCACCCTTGTCCCGAGACAACAATGCCTCCGGTAGCAGGTTAGCAATGGCACCTCGGAGTCACAGTGTTTGAGTTCATGCGGTCCGCAGCAATGGGCTTCAGCTAAGCATTTAGTTTGATGACGACAGATATGGTGAAGCGCTTCCTGGCTGTGTGCAATGACCCGCTTCAAATTTACATGGCATCAGAGGGTCGATGCGGCCTATGGCTGTATACCGATGTTCTAGGCTCACGCTCTTAGGCCCCTGCCCCAGGGATCTGCAGGTCGGTCCTGGGGGGGTGGAGAAATTCGCTTTGCGGTTCTGTGCCCTTCAACTGCACATTGGCTCTCGGAGGTCTCCTGCACCAGAGTTCGGAGCACTCGCTCCACGAAGTTGAGGATGTTGTGGTCATCCAGGTAAGATCTCGCCTGGGGGCGCATTGCGAGCTCACCTCGACTCACCTGCTCAGTCGGCTGGTGTGTGTTTATTGTTTTGACTTGGGGCCCCTCATCATTCGCTGCGTCGGACCATAAGACTGCTAGGGTGAAACGATGCAGACATGGATTAAAAGCGGCCGCCGACTTCCCGCCAATGGCTGGGTTGTACTGCTGGGGCGGTCTGCATCCCCGAGGTTTCTGAGCGCTCTCCGATGTATTTTCAATCCCTTCTGCTCTCACCATGGCCACCAGCTTGGCAAGCTCCTGATGTGCTTCAAGTGGAAAATCACCGAGATGTGCATGCCCAATGCTTGCTTGCTTCAAGCCCGTGCGGACAAACTTGCCAAACACAGAGCTTCACTTTGAAACCCCTGTCCCATGTGAATGCCAGTCCTCTTTCCAGAATCGGCAGTTGCCTGCGAGGTGACCGCAGAGTGACTTTAGCAAAAGACCGTTGGTTCAGGCTGTGCCTCGCAGTCGCTGGAGGAGAAGCCAATGCCCCTTCCAGCGTGCAGATGTGTCTTTTTTGGTAGGAAGATCATGTTGCAATGGTGGGTGCTTTCTCTGAGGTCCGTGCGTCCGGTCGACGGCCCGGAGCCTGCTCTCTCCACGTTGCACTTTGCTTCTGCGATCTTCTGCGACTCTCTCAATGTGTCTCACTGCTCTTGCTCTGTTCTACCCTTCTCCGCTCCTGATTGCCCCCTGCAGCAGCTCGTCGACAGGCACCGGGGGATAATGCCTGGAAGCAAGGTACCACTGAGGTTAGCTTGAACCCGTGAAATCAGCTCGGGGCACTGGAGCATGCGCATGCAGTCTGTGAAGTCGCCAGCCAGTAGCACCTTGGAGCTCCGCTTACGCTATGGTTCACATGCTACATATACGAGCAGAATCTGCCAGGTGCAGGTGCATGCAAGTTCGGGTCTACCAGCTTTCTTGCGCATATGCAACATATGTTAGTTACTCTAGTCACTCTAGTCCACCATTTACTGTCCTTGCAATGGTTGCGCCTCTCGGATACCGATGACCATAGCGACGCACAGGTAACCTTGCTGATGCTGAGCAAGCATCCCCAGTTAAAAAACTTTGCTGCGCGGAAAGCTGCAAAAGTTCGGCGAGTTCCAGCATCGCGTCGGTCAGGCTTTCATCGGAAGCTCTTATACTTTGGTCTCTTGGGCCCAGCAACACAGAAGTGGGTGTGGTCGGGCCAAATCGCCTCGACTTCGTCAAAAGAAGGAATCACCACAGTGACTTGGCCGGTGCGAGCCCGACGCGCTTCTGAGGGTCTGGCTGAGCAAGGAGTCCCACAGTCGAAGTACATCTGCCATGTCAAGCTCCTCGTTGCAGTACTGAGCATAGGAAGCAAACTGTGCTTGAGTGAACAAAGAATGGACAGTCGGTCCTGGGTGAGCATCAGTGTCAGCCACCTGGCCATGCTCGACATGACTTTCATCGGAGCACGCGAGCTTCCGAGTCTGGGGCCGGGGTGAGATGTAAGGCTGTGGCGGAACTGTGTAGTACACGGGAGACACTCGCAGGTCTTCGAGGTGGCTCCAGACCTTGCCGGCACGAACTCACCCTTGCGATGTACCCCACTGCATGCCCGCTACCATTGCCAGCTACTCATGTCCCACCTCTAGGTCCTTCTCCTTGAGCAGTTCGTTAAACTGGTCAATACGACCCATCATGCCCCCCTCCTCATTGTCCATGGTCTTGACGAAAGTGTCGCGCATGTCAGACATCAGCAGGCTGAAGCAGAAGAATGTGTCTGCCTTTGTTCGCAAGCTATACGGGCTGCTCAAATCCTAGGACGCTCAGAATCACTTCGGAAATTCCAGGCAAGTCTCCTCTGCATGCTGATAGTTCAATGGATCTTGCGCGAACAAGTAGTACAGCGGTGCACACAGCTCGTTCATGCCCTGTACATACCGAACTCCGCGGTTCAGTTTGGCATAAAGCAGCAAGATCCGCGCCACGACATCGTAGTGGCTCTTGGGGCTCTCCACGTCGATGCACTCTGGATCCCGACTCGTGACGGCGAGCGTCACCTCGGAAGGGTCGAAGCGTTGGCGGCCGTCCTTCAACACCGGACATGCGGGCTCCATAGGGCTCCTAGCATCTGAGAGAAGGCTGATGCAGCTCCTCGATCGTGTCTTTGCCCAAGGACTCAGACCCTGTGGGTAGCGTGCGGCAAAAGAAATCCATCTCGGGCCTTCAGCTGCTCACTACGGACCAAGCATTCGGCATCACTGCTGGCATCACTTGCGGAGGGGTGCCTGGTGCGCATGACATCCTTCCGTATCTGCTCGAGCACCTCGAGGGACGATTAGATTTTGAAAATATTTTTTCACACTTCTGTGAGTTTTCTGCTCGTGCTGCTACCTCGGCGAGCGGGACAACGTGGTCCTCGTCGTCGGGCCAGCCAGGGGGTCCGTCCTGCAAAGCTTCGTCGCCAGCGCGCACGGACGGACACTCCGGAATCAAGGCAGCGCCTTGACCCTTCGCTCGTCGAAAAGGTCTTGGGGGAGCTCGGAGAGGAGCTCCTCACAGAGGAAAGGACAGCTTGAAAACAGAGAAAAGATATAGTCAGAGGCACCCTTTTAAATTTTGGCAAGAGCGGCCGGCGCCTGGAGGAAGGTCGCATAGTCTGCTCTAGCGGAGGCCAGAGCCATGTCCCAGCGGAAGGCGTCGCAGGGCCTTGCAACTGCCGAAAGAAGTCGCGCACAGCACAGCACAGCATACTCAGGTAGCCCAGTCTATCTGAGCCTGTCGTCAGCAGCTTCATCGGTTACAGAAGCTAGTCGGTCAACATACTGATCACACCACAATGCTCAGAATGAGCCCCAGAACATACAAACAAGCCGCAAGCCACTTTGGAGGCCGAGGCACAGGTATCCCAAGAGCAGCTTCCAGAGAGCAGCTCGAAGTGCCGGGGCCTCAAAAAGGACATTGGCCAAAGGGCCTTTCAGCCCTGGCTCCCCAAAAAAGAGGCAAGAAAGAGGCCAGGAGCCTCGTCTGGTATGCCATCAGCACAGAGGGGTCGGACCACGTTGAGGTCAATTTCCAACACCTTCGGCGAGTCCCCGTCCGTGATGCGCGGACAGACGCAATGCCTGTACAGACCACGACACAGCCGAAGAACGGATGCTAGGAGTGCTGATGAGGTGCAGCAGCCGGATCAGTCTGGCCGCGAGCTTCTCGCAGTCAGTGTGGAGTGCCTGCCAGAGCTGCCATGGTATAGACATGTATGCATGCAGTTATTGGAGCGCCATGCTCGCACCAGACCTGTTCCTGGACATGCCGCAGCAAAGAGCTTACCGATGCTGGCAGCGTCTGATTGGCGGCACGCCGGGGCATGAAGACATTGCGGGGGACACTACAAAGAGGGCTCCTCCATTCGGCTCTGGCAGCTTGGAATCCTTGGGGCTCAAGGCTCAAGGGTCGGCCCCCCGGGGTTCTTTTTGGAGCCTGTGGCAGAGCTCATGGCCACGCGATGGGGTCAAAGGCTGCAGTGTCTGAGTGCTTCTCAAGCTGCATGATTTCCCCTTCCATGGAGGGAGGGACTATGCAGATGCTGATACCAGGAGCCAAATGTTCGTCGAAGAAGCCTGCGAACGAACGTTTCTGCCAGCCCAGCGCATGCTTCTGCACCCAAGGCCAGACGCGACTGGAACCCTGACAAGTTCAGAAACAGAGACTCTGGACCTCTTTGGGGCACGCGCCTGGAGAGCAGCATGATGCCGCCTCGACGATCTCTGAGGGCCTCGGCACTGGCTTCCGAGCCACGATGCTTCAAAAGATCCTGTTGCTGCCTCTGCTCCTAGCTCCCGACTCGGTTGCGCTTTCGGGCCGACTGCCGGGCCCAGCGTGGCTGCATTGCGGTCCTTCACTCCATTGCGGCATTGCGTGGCATTGCGTCGCAACAGCACCAAAGCGGGTCCAAGAGGTTGGACTGCTTCAGAAGATCTGTGGGAGCGAAGCTTCGCTCCTGGCAAAACTGGGCCGCGGCCACTACACGAGAAATGCGCGCAGGCGACAGCTGAGCTCCTCCAGGTCCGTCCGTGCGGTGTTAATGCCTCCGAGGCTCGAACACTCTCAGTCGAGGGCTCTTCCGATCGCTCGCGTGGAGACTTGCGCTTGTCTGAGAAGCACGCTTGAGGCTAGGCGGGAAGTCTCCGCCCCATCCCTCTCCTTTGAGGCAGGCCTTTGTTGCGAAACGCTTTGCTGTCTCTGTCTGCGGCGGTCACTCGGTGGCATGAATGCTCGCCCTGCTTTCCTCTAAATCCGTGCGTGTCTGTGTGTCCGGCTTGATGTTGAAGTTCAGCTTCATTGTGAGCTCCTGGAGAAGGTTGAGCATTGACACCAGAGCTATTCAAAAAGGTGCGCAATGGGCGATGCCCGCCTCTTCGCCTGCTTCCTGCCCAGGGGGGGCCACTATGACCTGGACAGGATTCATCCTCCGGACTTACAGCAGAGACCGTAAGAAGACCAAAGGTTCAATGGCTGGGATTGTGGCCTCGATTTGGTGCCCGGCAGTTCCTCTCAAGCAGCTTCAGGCGAAGAGATCCTGCGCCCTACGACGGCGTCGCTCACCTTCACCGGCAGTCCCGGCACCAAAGGCCTGGAAGCAATGCCCGGCTTAGCATATACTTATAGCATAGCATAAAAGAGCGCAGCATTTCTCTGGAACACACACACGCACGTGCCTTTTGCAGCCCAGGCAGCAGCTCCGAGCTTTGAATGCCTCGAGATGTATTAAAGCCCTCTGCTCTGAGAACAAAAAGAAGCCGTGGTGATTTTTGAGAGCCCAGCAGGCCCTGCCCTGTACCGAAAGAAGGTCCACCTGATGCCGTGCCCTCAACACATCTCTCGCTCCGAGACATCTCTGACTTCGAAACCTCACATGCGGCGATAGCTCATCAACAACTGCCGAAGCTCTGAGGCCTTCAGACCGGTGCCCCCGGCGGCCACTGCCGCGGCGGTGGAGGAGTTGGAAAAAGCGAACTTCTGCTTCGGCGCTAAGGCTGCCTGGACGCAACCGAGACAACTATGGCCATACTACTTCTGCTGTGATGATGATGATGATGACGATGACTGTGGGTAGTCGTCTTGTCAGTAATAGTAGTCGTCGTCTTCGTCGTCG